TGGAAAGGCACTCTTGATCGAGATATTGCACTCTTGCGCCTGAAGAGGCCTGTTCCGTTCAGTGACTTCATACATCCCATCTGTTTGCCCACCAAAGAGATTGTTCAAAGGTGAGGAGGCAAAACTATATGAATTTTCATGGGAAAAGCTCCATCCCAAACCATCAGTAACCTGTCCCAATAAATAAGTGGCTTGTAGAGCAACCGGACTGTGCTGCAAGAATAAGAGTTGCTCTAAGTATCTTGAAACAACCATCTCCCCAGTCCTGCTAGCCATGAAATCCGGAGTGGTGAAACTTTGAAGTAAGAACATTTGGAATCTCGCAGCAGGTGGTCTGCACTAGCAGGTGGTGGGTTCCCACCTGCTACTTGAGGTAGGTGTATAAAGTTAGCACTGCATCCATGCACAGAATGCAACCCTCCAGTTTCTCCAGTTGTAGTAAATTCAGTTATTGAGCAGAAAACAGAAGTCAGGCAACACCAATAGGAAGTGCAATACAGCTATTTTAAAAAGGCAGTCTTGTGCCCAAGAGACATGAAGAGCCATGTCTCTCGCTAGTGCCTTACCTATTGCAATGTAGTTGCACTACATAGTTGCATATGAGAGTTCCAAATGTAGTTGCATATGACTATAACCTTATTTCAAGCCAAATTTAGACTACTTGTAAAATAAGTCCTTTACTGACAAGTATCAAATTATCTCTAAAAGCAAGATGAAAGAGACAAGACACAAGTCCTAGGTGTAGATTATCAACATCAGCAGCTTCTAAGCAGACAGCCTATGCCAGAAGGTCCACCAAATTAACTGGAGTGTTTAGGGGACAGCACTGTTCTAACATCCAGGGTCTGTGATTGGATTTGTTTCCCTCCTTCTGTGGACGAGAAGGCAGCAAAGGCTGAGGGAGGGTGGGTCATGCATGTTCCCGACACTTGAGATGAATGCAGGCTTTAGCATACTAGAGAGAACAGGTAAGTATGGGCACAGGCCAGTGCACCCTTGTCTTGCAATGCAGTCTAACACAAATGGATGGTACAAGCCCCTGACCTTGCAGCATCTATCTGGCTTCAGAAATCTGGGTAGAGAGGGCAGGGAGTTAATACTTTGTCATGTTTGCACTGCCTTGAAGAATAAAATGCTGTAAAACATGGTGAAATCACAATCTGCACATCTGAGGAAGTGTAAGAATGACAGTGAGAGCTCATAAACATGCTGTACTGAAACTCTGAAGAATAACTGCAGACTTTCAGGGCACCCTCCTCCTCCAAGGAGGTCATTCTGAGTTTGCCTTCCCTGCTCTGGAGGCAGGGCCTTCTCAACACTAGTTGGCCTCTTGCATTTATGGGGAAAACTTCCTTGCTGAGAAATTCCAAGAAAAAGACTAAACGTGGCAAGTACAAGAGAGCTCAGCAATTGCACGACACGTATAGTGCGCAAACGGAAATTCTTTTTCTCATCACTTGCTCTCCTTCTGAAAGCTTGCCTGCCTGCCTGCCTTGTTTACTCTACCAATGTTTTCCTTGTGGGTTCACTTATGCTTTTTTTTATCAGAACCCCATTTCCAAAAATTAAAATCTCACAAGAGACACCACTTTGATGTTTATGCATGTACACAATTACAATATTTTGTGGATATTTAGTAAATAAAATTTGAGTAATTCATCAGTGAGACTTTACTATTCTGCCTGGAGATATTAATGCCTGCCCTACAGGGTTGCCACATGATTCTAATCTATGTTTCTGTTTTCCAGCTTGATGCTAGCAGGCTATAAAGGACGTGTAACTGGCTGGGGAAATCTTCAAGAAACTTGGACCTCTGCTGGGTCGGCTCAGCCTGCCCTTTTGCAACAGGTGAACCTCCCCATTGTGAGACAGGGTATCTGCAAGGCATCCACCAGTATTAAAGTCACAGACAACATGTTTTGTGCAGGTACTTTCCTAAGCATCTGAGCGTTTTTTTTCAGGTGAGGAAGAAACTGGTGACGTTCATGTGTGGAGTTGGAGGTGCTGAAGGGTCAGTGCTATTGCTTCAAAGTAATTAGCTAAGCCCCATACAAAGGAACAGAAGAATTAGCCAGAATGGTTTAGCTCCAGCTGGTGCCCTGACCATGGTACTCATTGGTGATCTAAACAAACATCCCTAAAATGTTATTACTCCTGTTCACAAGCAACCGCCAGACTGAAAAACTGTTTCCTGAGTGACGTTTGGAAGGCTCCTCTCATTTGGGCTAAGAGAGTAGCACCAGCCAGGGCAGAGATCCTGAATGTTATTAAAAAAGCACTGTGTGTGTGTGTGTGTGCATGCACGTGCTCCCCCCTGCCCCCCCCCCACACTCCTAGGTTGATCATTTGCCTGCAATGATTCTTATGCATATTTACAGTTTGCCACACAGGGACCAAATCTATAGGCCCTACATGTTTAAATTTTGTAACAAACACCCTATTAAGACATGTAGGTATTAATAACCATTTTAAAAATCAATCATCTGTTTTCTGAACTGAGACATTTAACAAATACTACATTTTATGTGGAAATCACAGCAACTGTGTGACTATGTCCTGAGCTACTACAAAAGGGAAAAGGCATTGCACGGCACTTTTTACTTATTAAGAGCAGAGGGTAATAAGCAGAAAACGGGAACCATAGTCAACCACAGTTGCTAACACTTCCTTCCCGCTCTTTAGGGTACAGTCCCGAGGCCTCCCAGAGAGGAGATGCATGTGAGGGTGACAGTGGAGGCCCTTTTGTCATGAAGGTATGTGCATTAGTGAAAACGATGTAATACACACACGACTCCATTAAAGGGGAGAGGTTTAAAGAGAGGCATTATTTTCTTGGTGGCCCATGAGCTCACTGTTCAAGGGCCACAACTGACAAGATGGCTTAAACTTAAGAGAGCTTAGGATGTGTTAGGCCTGGGTACAAGGAACCTACAAAACTTGTAGAGCAGCCAGTTTTATGCTGGCAATGCATACACACCTCTCATTCAGATTTGTGATAGGGTATTAGGTGCATGTACTAGCTATGCTGAACAAAAAAAGGGAGAGAAATTCTGAAGTACGGTAGCCCAGATTCTGCAATTTGTCATGCAAATCAAGCATAAACCCTTGTTTTTTTGCCGTTTATTCTGCTGTTGCTGTATTCTTATAAAAGACCGCAAAGCAATGAAGAGCCACCTCTTGGGCATCTTATTCAACAAGACTAGTAGTTTTTGAAATTTTGACAGACATTGTCCGTACATAGCCAAGGATACCATTGCAGTGACAGTGTTTTTTCTTAAAGTACAGTCTCAGGAAGTTCTTTACAACTCCCAGGATTCCTGCCTATTGCTTATCCTGACTGGAGGCTTGCTGGACATGGATGTCCAAAACATCTCAAGGATCCTGAGGTTATAAAGGCTGCATGGGAAAGATTCACTGTAATTTTTGAAAATGAGTTTGCAGTCTGCAGCAGTCTCCTGCTTTTTGCTGTATGTTGACTGTTCTCTTGAGATCCTTGTACTTTCCCCTTCCTTCAGGACCCAGCACTTCAGCGGTGGTACCAAGTTGGTATTGTCTCATGGGGAGAAGGCTGTGATCGTGATGGCAAATATGGATTCTACACCCATGTGTTTCGTTTGAAGAAATGGATGGAAAAGACTATTTCCAGACATGGGCTTTAAATGGAATTTAACCTCAGCACCTGCACCTTGCCTTTTAGCTATCTATAGTGATCAAATATTACAATAAAAAGCTAATGGAAGAAACATATCTGGGTACAAACCCAAATAAAGGCTATGGACCAAGTACTCATTCTTCTCTAACTAGAAACTTTGCTCAAACACCACAAGTACTATTAACAAAAGTATCATAACAGAACTGTGAGCAAGGTGAATGCACCTGGCCAAATACAGTTGATGGATGGATGCCTTAATCTTATGTTCTTATGGAGATGCCAACCCACCATATCTGATGGTACATTTAGGATGGACAGTTGTAAATTTTATAATCTCATTTATCTTGGGAACTCATTAACTTAGTTTTTGATAGCTTCAAGTAAACATACAAGGTGGGATACTCTCTAGAATTTACCTATTACAAGTTACCAAACAGGGAACCACTGAAATTAGTTTGAAATTAGATTTAAAGTACCCTCCATTTTCTTCTATAACCAAGGAAGATGCAGAAATCAATATTAAACATTCTTATTAGGTGACACTGTAACCATTAGTTTGGCATTAACAGCAGCAAACCAATATCCAGTTTGCATATTCTTTGTAGTAGGTTTGCTGGTGCAAAAATCACATCACCACAGGCAGTTCCAGTGTTGCCCTAATAAAATGCATTCGGTCTCAGTCACTTAGTACTTCCCAGGTAGGTGATACCCATGGGCTGTGTGGCGCTGATGTGAGAAGCAACAATATAATTGCTTTTCGTATGTCACTACCAACAAGATTTAAGAGCACGTTCCAGGAAGGCAGGTTGGCTGCAGAACCGTGTATATAGAACAGTGCCTAGATTGCAGAGATTATCTTTATAGCCTCATATAACTGGATTCTAACCTTCACTCAACTCAGGAGGGGAAAAAGCAGGCCAAATGGAATAGGCCAGGACTGCTACCAATTTAGCACTGAACAGACTATAGTATTGGCAAGATGCAGAAGAGGCAATAGTGCAACAAACAGGTTATAACAGCATTTAGTGGGATTTAGTTTTATTTAGTCCATTTTAAAGTCATCAGTAGCACTTCTGCAAGCAAAGCAATATATCCCACTATTTCCACAGCTGTTAATCAAGCCATTTTTGATAGCAATACACATTCCTCCACTGAGTGAGTGAAGCACCATAGAACACAAGGAAAAATTGTCCAAGTTCCATGAATATTAACTATGTTACATGGCTGATACTCATTAAAAGTTGTCTTCAGATATATAATTGATCCCTCACCTGCTGACATATATACTCCATTTCTCCTGCAATGCTTTTCATAGCTGTATCACCAAGATTCATGGAGTACAGAGAAATTTAGTAGTAAAACGTAACATTTATTCAAACAAACTGTAGAAACATTTCCATTGACTCTAGGTTAAACTCAAAGTATCTTAAACCAACACTGAAATGGCAAATATTTATCAAAACTAAAGCCATACATCAGGCTAGGCCAATGCAGGGTGAAGAGGGGAGAAAGAATATATTTTTAGATAAAGCATAAAGTTTGCCACAGAGGCTTCATTGCATTTATAAATCTCATTTGTGGCACACCTCTGTAAATTGTAATTCTGAATGCCACTACCTCACCAGTGCATTTATGACACCAATGTAGTGCTTTGCGCTCTAATATAATGCTTAAAAATGGGGCATCAGCTGCAAAGGGGGGCTATTTCCAGCAGTGCATTAGAGGAAAAATTAAGAGCCCTACAAACTGTTAAGCATTTTGCACCATTTCAAGGCACACCATAGTGCTACAAAGTGGTTATTGTGGCGTTTAAATAAACAGCACCCTTTATATCTGCTCTGACATGTGTCGATTCCCTCTTTTATAGCAGTAGCTAAAGAAGGTGTTTCTAGAAGGAGCACCTTCTACTGAAAAATGGAAACTTAGAACAAAATGAGGGCAAGCAGGCAATCCTCCCAGAAATCGGGTCATATGCGCACCAAAGTCAAGCACTCTGGTCAAGCACTCTATGATGTGCACTATCTCCAAACCAGGATACATATGCACACAGAAACTATAGTTTCCATAGAAGACTATCAATTTGATTTGGTGCAACATAAAACCATCATATAAACAGTGCTTTCAATCAAGGCTTAACAATCGTGAAGACCTGGAAATGAAATTAAACCTCTGTTGGTCACAAAAAAGCTGAAGCTCCAGGTCTTATAACAGGTGCAGCAGTATCTACTTCAGAGCATCTAAGGTGGGAGTAGGGAATATCAACCTAGAAGGGTTTACAGAAATTCCCTGTGCCATGGCAGGTCTGGGAATCAAAGCTTAAATGGTTAATAAATGCATAACCTACACAAATAAAAGCAGCAGTCAGAAAATTCCCCACAACCACCTGGATTGGTAAACTTCAACCATCGCAATATTGATCTACTTCAGAGCACAAGCATTCTGAAAGCAGAATCCTAAGAGGACATTTCAACCATCTGCGGCAACCATTGGTCATACATTTACTACAGACTTTCTAGCAGGTTCTGAGCTTGCAACAGTTAAGAATTTGCAAATATCTTACTAGACATCTAAATATTTTGGGCTTCCTCCTGTTATTACAATACTGAAGAAAATCTTTTGAAGAACCCAAACCAAGCTTTCTTAACTGTGGGACACTGTTAATCCACTTTGTTCAAGTTCCAGTTCTCAAAAAGGATCAAAGTAATTCCTTAAAAATACAAAAGTGTTTATAACACTTGCAGGCTATGTAGATTAAGATCGCATGAAGAAAGGCTTGCAAAGGCATTTTCAGGGATATAAAATGTGCTACCTCTGCTCCCGAACTATCCTGGAAGCCAATGGTAAGGGCAACAGTATACTATTAAGTTATCAAAGGACTATTTCACCTGAAGCATTTTTGCACTTTTAGTGCCTCAACTTCTCCATGTCACCCCAATGAAAGTTATTCCGCTGTCAGGATTTAGACAGCAGCTCCTTTGATACCTAGAAATGCTGAGCCACTAGCAACTAGGAAATGGATGGATATTTCCCACCAACAGTCACTGTTGCTCCCATGGAGAGTTAATGCAAACTTTATTTACAAAAAGACACTTAAATTAGTTACTTCATGCCATGCGTCCGTACAGAAACAGTTCAAGGATTATATGAAGAAATTCACAAAATTAAAAATGAATCCACTGAGGTGCTTCTAGGAGTTAAGAAGGCTAAGAAAGGTAAGACAACTTAATAAAAACAAGTTATGAGAAACTGGACTGAGCAGGAGAATGGTTGTTTACAGCTCTGTACACTAAACTAATACACAAAACAGTCTTCTACAGTCAAGAAATGCTCACAGAGAAGCAAAGTATTTACAAAGACTTGTGCCACAATGACTTGGATCGTCCTCCAAGATCTGCTGTATTATACACAGAAACCAGTTTGTATACATAAGGCCTACATGAGGCCACTTTAACTATGAAGACTTCTAGTTTAGTAAACTAAAGATGGACAGATCTGCAATTGCCACACTGTCTCACGCAATTCACTTGCGACTGCTTTTTATTCTCTCCAGTCTTTTTTTCAAGTCATCAATATTGGATGCTGCGGAAGAAGTAGTGGTACCAGTGCCAGAGGAGTGGGTCTGATTGGAGTCTAGCTCAATGTGCTGGTATTGTTCCCGTGACTCACGAAGCTGTGAAAGCTTACTGTGGAGCATATCTGTGGAGGATGCAACGGTAGGGACTGACGGTTTGGACAGCTGGGAGGTCAGCGGTGCTCTGTCTTCCTGCTGTGGATGGAGACAATGTTGAAAACACTTGCTCGAAACTGGTAAAATATTTTCTGCAATGCTTGCAAAAGGGGAAACATTAAGAAAAAGTATTGTTGTCCTATAAGAATAGATTTACATGCCCATATTTTATGATGCCTGTATTTTATGATTCCGATTATGCAACTGGTACTTGTAGCACAGCTTGCTCCAAAAATAATCCTTTCATCACACATACCATCTGTCATGTGGAAAAAAGCTTGCACATATATAAATTAGTACACATTTTGATTGAGTCCAGGTTGGTTTGAAGGCTGAAGTTTGGATGTTTCTAGTACCACCTCTTTCTGAGAGTAAGTCAGGCTTTACAGTTCCAATTGTCCAGCAATACCTTTGTGACTGAAGTGAAAAAAATTCTAGCAATTGTGCCATTAATTCAAAGATTGTGAAAGTATCAAGTTAGACCTTAACAACTCGTTGAAAGCTTCAGTTTCTCCATGCTCATTTAGAAGTGCTTGACTGAAGCTTCTAGAAGTCTTGAGTATACCATTGAAGCACGGGAGCCCTAAAGCAGCATGCTCCCAGTCAGTCAGTGCCTCCAGAGACTCTACTGGGGTCAGCTCTGCAGCAGTGTGTACCATTACCCATTGTGTTGGTTGTGTAAGCCCTGATATATTTGCAATAGAGTTAGAGGCATGAAAGATTTTAAATGCTTGTTGACACAAGACTACTTTTTCCAAGCACAAGAGTACGAACTTTTGCCATTAGCCCACCTACACTGATAAGACTGTATGCAATTTACACACAAAACCATCAGCACTATGCAAGAGCCAGAAATGTAGTACTGCAGCATAATGCAGTCACCCTTTAGAAACAATCACACATTTTGGTCTTCCTTCTAACCACCAACTGAAGAGTTACAAAGAAAGGGGGGAATATCAGTTGGGGAAAGATCTAGAGCTCCACAATTCATCACCAGCTGGGCTCAGAGTTCATGGTAGGCAAGGTTAGCAAGTCCTGCCTTCTCATGTCACCACACAAGCGAGGACAGAGCAGTTTTTGTCTTACCACCTGTGCCAGATCTTCCTTCATTTCCAAGGTAATTTAGGAAGTAGCTTTTAGTTCAACTGCCTGTCCCAAGAAAATTTTAGTGAAAGCAAAGAGGCTGCAAGCAAAGATGTGCAGAGACTTTGGTATCAATAGCTAATATGCCAGAAGAAAATAGGATTCAGCACATAGAGCATTGGAGTCGTAAATGCAAGCATTTTTGCATTTGTTAATCTATTCAATACCTTCGCATTGTCAAGACCACATCGCTGCCTGAGGATTTTTAGCCTTTCCAAGTAGACAGAAGGCCCCACCTCTTCCCCGTTTGAATTTCCTATAGATGAGGAGACTGTATTGGTGGAAGTGGGAATACACGATACTTCCATCTGTGGAGAAACCCCTGGAAAATAAAAAACACAGAAACAAAACAAAACAAAAACACAACACAAAATGAGTCCAAGCAGACACCAAAGGAAGACCGTGATGTCCATGTGCTATAGAAGTTGCTGGGGTTCAACTTTTCCCACTCTCCTGGGATTACCTCAGAAGCCATGGACCATGCAGGATGAGTCCACAACGCAGTTCTTGTCTATGTCATTGCTCCTTTGACTGAAACTGGGTAACGCTGGCAAGGGAAGGAGCCACAGCACAGACTTCCCCATGTGGGTAGGGCTCCTGAGGCTTCCTCAGCGGCACAGGAGAACGACCCATGCTGTGGGGGGTCTGGTGCCAGTCAGAAATCAGAGTGGCTTTTCCTGGAGTCAAACGTCTTCACACATCTTTGCATTTAGTATTAGTTAACATGTCTACTTGCTGGAGTCTGCGGAACTTTCCTGGTTGTTTTCATCGGCTGTGTTGTTGCAGGCTAATTGCTTTCACTATAATTTCCTTGGAACAAAAAGGCTGAATCCAAGCTTCTTTGAGGAAAGGCCAAGCACAATGACTTAGGGTTTGTGCTGCTTTTCCCACATGCACTGTAATCTGGAAGATAATTCTTACTGATCTGAAACTCATGGATTTTGACACCAGGTGAGAGCATCTTCCTTGCACCTACATAACCCATTAGCTCTTATGGGAAAAGCCAACCATGAGAATGCCTCTTGAAAGTGACTGGATTATGCCCTATGAGAGAATATTGTGCGAATGCCAACAGTGTTCTAATTATGTTATACCACCAGTTTGGCCCTATACATGAAGTCTTGGCATATTACTTCTGAAGTCCTCTGTGCACACTATTAAACTGGTAAGACCCTCACAGCTATATCAAAACAACAGCAACCGGCTCCCTCAAAATCCATGTTGTTGCGCTGCTGCAAAGTTACCTGTAGAAGAGGGAATGCGCCCTTTCCCCTCCCTTTCCATTTCAATCAGCCGGAGTCCTCGTTCCACATAGCTCTGGAAGAACTGTGAGGAATTTTTAAGGAAGGGCTCAATGTCTGCATCAGAATATTTCTTTTTATATTCATACAACTCTGCCAAACCCTGCAAAAAGAAAAGCCCTAGTCATTGAAATGTCAATGTGGAAAATGCAGGGCTCTAGCACGTTGCAAAGGTGGCTCTGCACGGCCCGTGTGTTCACAGGAAGCTGCGATATACCAGGTCAGGTCATTGGCCCATCTTGATCACTGGGCAACAGCTTTCGGCTTGCAACTAAGCAGCCTGGAGAGGTTGCACAGAGGCCACAAGAAAGAAAGTGGCAATATACTTACCTCTTTAGTGTTTTCTTTAGAGCCAATTTTCTTAAATATCTCTGCTAAAATATCATTCACTTTAGCCTTTGGTGACTTTTCATCCTATACAAAGAAAGAAAGATGTATTAACAAAACTGCAGAGGGACAGAGGTTCAAACTGCTGAACTTTTTCCATAAATGTAGGAGGAGAACTAAAGCCACACTGTCTCATAACATGTAGAAAAGCAGGATAAATGGAGCACAGCTCACAACTGCAAGTCTCATTTAATTCCAATGAAAAGTTACCCTTGCAACTAGCTGGCAAAGGTACTGGTGGAATAAAAGGAAACCCAATATGCATTAGTGTTTTTCTTTCCACAAGCACACAGAAGGCAGAATAGCTGGTTAGTCTTATAATTTAAGGAAGCATCAAATAAAATACAGTTCAATGAAATATACACTTCCTTTTTATGACTATTAATAGTATTTCCTAGCAGCAATGCTGCACCACATTTGCCTGGATTTGATTTTTCACGAGACCGTCTCTCTCTGGGAAGGGATAAAGTTCCCAGCACATGGTGCTACCGCAGTTGCCTATATGAACTGAAATAGAGCTGAACCAAGTAGAAACTTTCTGTGGACAGTGAAATAATTTGCAAAAATTATTATTCTTGGCTAACACACTACAAAGCTTATTCTGCCTGCTCAGCGAGCCACAGGAAACTACAATTCAGAAAGTTTCCAACTGTGCATGTGGAATGTGCATGTGAGCACTTGTACAGCTGAATGCCATTTTCTTTTCCAATTTTTTCACTTACTATGCGAGAAGCTCCTTTTTCTGTGCCTTTGTCAGTTTTACTCCCAGTTTGGTCCAAGGAATGTTTCATCACTCTGCATAGGTGAGCTTCCAACTCAGATTCATTTTTGTTATCTATCATTGTTAGGTGATCTAAGATCTAAGAAAGAATGTAAAAGCCTTCAGTGAGAACGCTAAACATACTTTAGAGGGCCATACATAAATTGAGGTGAACCTTTCTGCCTCACCTTAGGGCCTTTCAGCTTACACAAGGTGTGAATTAAGGTCTTCAGTGTCCGTATGGGGAATTCACTCTTGTACTGCTTTAGTTTCTCCTTTGGAAACACCTTCATAAAGATGTGAATGTCCAACATGATTCGATCCAAATTAATAGTGTTGATAGTTTCTGGGAGAAGTCTTACCATTCTCCATAAACACTGGGGGAGACAGAGAAAGACAGAGGGAGGGAAAAACTTCGTAAAAGAAGCCAACTACCTGAAACAAAGCAGATCTCCCTACAAATCTAGGATTATTGAAGCTGAATTTGATTTTTAAAGCCTCAAATTAAATCCCATGATCAATATATATTTAGTGATATTTAGTAATTTAGAGATATTAGTAATCACTAATACTATTTAGTGATTATGCCCTCACATTATACTGGGCCTATCAAATGTTTCTTAGTTATTCTTAGGAGAAAAATAGTAGCAAGCAGTGCTTTAGCTTTAATTTCATTGGCAAAACATGTCTGACAATAACATGGGAATAAGGTAAGTTGTATTAATATCAACGCCTCTTCCAATACTGCCACTGCAGCCATTTCTGTGTTAGAATGGAACAGTGGTCATTTACCGAAAAGATGCCTTCTGGTTTGGTGTGCTGAAGGCATCCAACAATGGCCAATAGGAGAGTTAACCAATTGTAGGATACTTTCTCAGATCAACTGATTATGAGGACCTTAATTAGAAGTATTTGCAACATTTAATCTCTCCTGCCAATGCTTAATAATTATACAATAAGATATTTAACACCACCAAAGCCCATTCCATACACTCACCTTCATTACAAGTTCTGAGAACTTGGGAGAGCTTGCAGTTGCTAACAGACTATCCTGAAGAAGAACAAGCAGGGCACTGGGAAGAATAAGTACAGCAGCATTACCCATACAAACACCACAAATACAGAGAAGCACAGGAAAACACAAAATTGCTCTGACTGAGCTAATTCAGCTTCTTTCCTTGTGTTATGTAATTTTTTCCCATTATCAATTAGGATATCAACACAAGGCAGCTGGTCAATGCTTTCAAAGAGTAATACTGGACACTTTCAGATTTTTCTCCTTGTCTTAAGCAGAAACGAAAAGGGAAAAAAACTCCTCTTAGATCAGTCCTGAGCCTGAAAAGATGGTGCAACCTAATTTACCTTGCTCAGCAACTACAGGGATTAACAATTCATTGGTTTTGAAGAAAGACCTGGTGAAGCAGTAAACTACCACAAGGAAATATCTCATCAAAGATGAGCTCAAACAAGAATTCAGTCTTATGTTGGAAGCTGTAGTTTGACAAGAGGAAGGACTTGTTGTGTTTTCGGAATTTGGCATAGATCTATTTACCTCAGTATGTTGGTTTGATCAGATTTTTCCAGAACTTTTACCACCAAGAGGTTGACAGATCTGATAACCTGCTGACCTTCCTCTAGATCTTCAACTCTTGAATCCAGCATTAAGGTAATGAGTCCATGCATCAAGTCCTTCAGTACACCTGCTGAAGCCTCTCTGACCAGACTTTCAATCTGGAATAACTGCCAATTGAATTCAAAGGTTAGGTATCAGTTTCTCTTCTGGATAAAACATTGCAGTCTAGATAATCCCTCCAGAATATTTCTTGCTGATATCAAGACTCTAAGGAGACATTAAAGGGAAATATACTCCTTACTGATTTGAGTGTCCCAGATGTACCTATTTTCAAGATGGAAGAGGAAGTATAATTTGACAACAAAGTAATCACCATATGTAACTGCTACAGAACAACAGTATCTATGAAAATCACTTGTATGGTCAAGGGCTACTCCTATCCAGATCAATTCTGAGATTGAAAAATAATTTGTGCACAAACCGATGGCCACAACAGGTGGTAAGAATGAGAATTTCCTTCTTATACTTTAAATATGTCCTTCTAATGGATGTATAAATACTTCTGCTTGAAACCATTAAATACCACTGCAGGTTTCTTCTACCTGATTAAGGCTTCATATTGTCTAAGGTACATTTTCATCACATTATCTGCTATTCCTATATTGCATAAGTATTTATCCACTGGACATGTTACTGAGTGTTAATCAAAGTGTAGGTAAATAGTCCTACTTAATACTCTTACAGAAGAAAGAAATGTTCTCATGTTGGAAGTCCATGCTTGGAATGCTGCATTTTGGAGTTTGTGTGTCCTGGTCTCACTGATGCCTGAATAGATGTGTGCTGTAGCAGATGCCCTTAGCAGTAGATGACACATTTTTTTAATATGGAGCCTATCCATTCATCAGCTGTGCACAAAATATTCTTCAGCCTCACAAGTGAACTTCTGGGTTAGGGTTCACTAGCCAACCATATGGGAAATCTGTCATCAGACAGCCAATCTATGACTGATTTAAACTTGAGTTTGCTCAAGTACAGGCAAAGCTTATGTGCTTGAGCAATCAAGGCAAGAACTATGGCATCTTTCTGACAAGCTCTGAGGTCTTCAAGTGTTGCTGCAACCGGCTCCCAAGCAAGACTGCATGCCAGGAGGAGGAGCAGGCTCAGTGACAAGTCCTTAGGTATAGAATTCTACACTAGTCCACACCAAGCTTTGGAATTAGAAACGGTATAAAGATGGAGTAAATTTGCATACTTTGACCTCAATAAATGGCTTGCTGGGGCCAAGATTTCAAATTTAATGGGAGGGAAGGAAGGTTGACGTAAGACATACTTAGATACAAAAGAGACAAAGAAAGAGACTAGAACGTGTATGGAACGTCTAAATGTCAGCTTCTGAAGATTCAACAGAGAGATAGCAATAACATTTTCAGACTATTCTCAACTGCCACATCATCCACATTTGTATTATTTTTTTAAGAGGAGAAAGATCTTTGGCGAATGGGGCGGCATAAAAATGTTTTAATAAATAAATAAATAAATAAATAAATAAATGATCAATTTCAGGATTACAAACAAAGCTATCTCTGTGCAGTGACACTTGCAAGCCCTCCAGTCTCCCCTTCCTTCTCTAAGTCATTTTTAAATTATAATTGCTATTATTTTGCAAGAGTTCCACAATTCATTTACTCACTGGCTAGGAAGAAGATTATTAGAGTAATTTAAAGAGGCACCTATAACGAACAAGTTATCTTTTATTTGGTTTATCCCTCTAGTGACTGAAGCTTCCTGCTGGAGAACTGGTTACCACCCTATTCTCCTTTTTCCATTCTTTAACCTTCCCAGCAAATCAAGACAAGAAGCTTCTAATTATAGTCTTTTATTATGTTAAAGTGGCCTGGACAGGACTGGCTTTATGACACAAAGTGGGCAAAGAAGATTGCTAGCAAGAAAAATCTATCAGTTTAAGAAGCTCGCTAATTTGGGATGCAGTACTGCTCAAGCTGGAAACTGATTCCAAACTGAATCTCCTCCTCCTCTCTACCACCCTCAGGGAGGTTCACACTGCCTGTGGCCACATGGTGGGACTTTAACGGCTAGCCCAGTCTTGATCTGGGACTGATTAGGTTATATCCTTTCCCATCTGGCCCTCCCTGTTACGTAGTGTCTCTCCTGAATCAGAGATGGTCTGATTCTCACCAACCAGCCACTTGGCTTAATCTGAAACTTATTCTGAGCTTGGCATTTCAGATAAGAGTTCCCACCTTACCTCTTCTTCCAGTTCAGATTCAGAGTCTGCAGTATCTACCCTGGAATGCTGTATTTTAGGAGAAGCAGGCCCAGGTCCCTCCCTTCCTTCCTATTTCCCCACAGTATTAGACTTACCGAAATCATGTTTCCAATTATACAACTGTACAACTTGACTATCTCATCCTTGTCCAGTTTTTCATCAGCCATATGAGTATTGTAAATGAGTCGGAGCTGCATGAATGTAGCTATGAGGAATTGGTCAATGTGGCCAGACATAGCTTCTGCTTTATCCTCTTGTCTCAGAACCTCATCAATCTGCAAACACATACACTAGTTATTGTTCTCTGAAAAGAAGAGTAACCTTGTAATATAGGTATCAACTTGTTCCCATATAGATGTATAAATCAGACTTCTCTTCCCTATTTTCTCATTCCCTGTACTGTCTATTTCTTGAGAGAATCTACTATGGATATTTACAACCCAAACACACTGGATTCATTAGGGTTATAAATGGAACATGTGTCACAATAGTTGTACAGAATTTTATTCCAGGGTCTGTTAGTGTTTCTGCAATTAATTCATTTTCATTTGTGAAAACTGTTTCAAATAGCATGTAAGTAGCCTGATAGAAGTTTTAATATTTAACATCCCAAGACAACAGGTGTCACATTATAATCAACTTCATGCTAGTGAGAGATAGGGCAAAGTTTCTCAAAAACTGAATGATTAGGAGAAGGAATTGATCAGTGACGTGCCAGTTCTTTTCATCCCTACAATTATAGTAAATGCTATAAAAACCATTCCCAGCATTCTGTACAGGAGCTTAAAATTAAGATTACTAGAGATGCCATCTTCCTGACATGCTTATTATTTCTTCTGCCCAAACGCAAAAAACTACTGAATTACACCTTCCCACAACAGAGAAGTAGTCCTATATTGACTGGCTTGGTGTCTTATTCCCAGGAAGAAAACAGATTATCATGCATTCTTCAGTAACAACATTTTCTTAAATATCAGAAATTAGCTATTTAAATCCTACTAATCTCATACTGGCAGAGAGCCAATGTGGTATAGTGGTTAGAATGTTGGAAATTCAGGTTCTAGCCTCCACTCAGCCATGAAACTCACTGGGTGACTTTGGGGTCACTCATTCACTCTGTCATCTACCACACAAGGTTGTTGCTGTAAGTATAAAAAGGGACTATGGAAGCCACCTTGGGTACCTCACAAGAGGAAAAAAGCGGGATATAAATGTAATGCAACAACATCCTTCAAAATAGAAACTAGGACGGGAAATAGCTTCAGAGGAAGTAACTTCTACTTTTGGAGTACAGAATTAGTAAATATATCAGAATCTAAAATAAGCCATTCATGTATCACCAATTGTATACTGCATAGTAAGGCTAGTTCAGTATCTTTGACAAGAACTTCACTGAAAATTGTTTGCAAGACAGCATGTTATCAATTTCTTCTTGGTAAGCAACGATGTAAAAGTTTTTGATTTCTTCTTCAGCATCTCTTGTTGGACCATAGATTTTAATAATGAAGCATTCCATTAATTCCAAATGATTTTGGGTTGGATTTTGCATTGTTGCCCATTACTGCCTGTGCTACCTTTTCCCTCAGTATCAGAGCCCTTCATTTCTTCTGAGTTTGTCATTTCCAGAGAAAAACATGTTGTTGACTGAAAATGCCCTATACCAGTGCAATTTAGTTGGCTCATAGCAAATCATGGTGCAATCAATGATTAAAAAAATAAATTTGATTTTTTAAAATTTTTACTGAATTTCCTCTACATATGGGAATGGCAGGCATGCCTGAAAATTATGTAGATAACCATGATTTAAATCTAGTCTTACTGACAAGTGATTTAAATTGATTTAAAATCAAATTCACCCTGTAGCAAGCTTTCCAATGTTTTACTGTTCCATTTCACCTTGATTCCTATTTCTCACTTTCCATGTCCTAATTGTATGTGTTGTGGAACACCAGCCTTTCCTTTCACGAACTCTGTGCCTGCTGGCTACTAGGCTTCCTTTCAGCTTTGATCTGGTAGTGCCATTAGTCACAATACTATTTATATTTCCCAGTGGCTGGTTGAGTGCCTTCTGACCTGCGAGCCTTATCTCCTGACACTAATTCTTTCATTTGGAATTGTTTTATCACAGGGTTTTCAAGGTAAGATTATTCATAAGTGCTTTCCTATTGCTACCTTCTGCTACTCCTGTTGCTTGTGAAAGATTTCCTATCAGAGTCCTTTTCAATGACTGTAGCTGCCCAATAGCTGCCCTAGAGGAACTGCTTCACCTCCATTGCCATTAGAGATACCCAATTTCTTCTGCCAATATTTCTTTTGCTTCTTAAGAGGGTGGAAGTATTTTAATCTGGTGTCGCAGCTTTGATCACTCCAGCTTGGGTGACTTTGCTAGACCAGTCTGATGTGGGACTGCTCTTGACTTCTCTAACACTCTTAAACCCCTTACTATGTTAAGGTGTGCATCCAAGTGAGGGAGGTCAGAAAGAGAAGCCCCTGCATCCAAGAGACCCTGAAGTAGCAAATTCAGATAAAATTCTGTGGGGACTGATGCACAATTCAGATCAGACTGTTCTGATTTCCAAGTGCCTGGGTGCACAAAAACTGAGAATCCTGACCCAGGGAATGCTTTGACAATGTCTATGGATTCTCCTTCAGGCACAGAATCAGGGATTTGCAGATTATCCAACCAAGTATGGTGCAGAATGTGCTGCATCTTGAACAAGGGCTAGTATAGGTGGAGACAGCAGTGGTGATGGTGAAGGGATCTGTCCCCAAACTTTCACTGATGAGACTGTCAGGTACCAAGGATACTGGTACCAATGCATGCTCTTCTTATCCTATAAAGGACTCTACATCCATCTGATGAAGGCCCTTAGACTTCCTCTCCACTTATTCCAAACTGAAGATGATTCATCCTTAGGCTTCAAGCTCTCCTCCAGCATCTCAAGGTGTGGGTGGAGGTTAAGGATTGACTGTCTTCACTCAGTCTTCGTTTTTGCCTTCAAGGGAATCTCAGACTGGGGATCATCCTGGATCCTTGTGCTAACTCCTTAGAAGATGTCACCAATGTTGCCATAAAAGGTGATGTGGAATAACTGGTACTAAGGGGGACAGGCACTGAGCTGGTAGAAGATGTCTGCACCACAAAAGGCTCCTCAGGGACTAGTAGTTTCAGTTTACAGTATACAGTTAAAGGTTTTTGCTTCTCTGGGCATTTCTTTGCTGTGGCATCAACTGCCTGCATGGCACCTGAGATGGGAGCTTGCCTTGTAAAGCTCAAGAAGCAGAGCAGAAAGGAATCAGAGGATGAGAAGGCATAAACTTAGATTGAAAGACAAAGATCAGCTCAGCAAATTTTCCCTAGTTCCATCAAAGAAACTCACTGGAATCAAACCCATGCAACATGCAAAGTGAGAGCAGGGCCTATTCATTCCCTGCTGAATAGGCTCAACTCTAGAATGTTCTGAAGAATAATCTGAATAGGTGGAGAACACATACTTGTGAAAATGCAGAGACCAGGAATAGGAATCAGTCCTTGTAAGAGATGGAGAGGGCTGTTGTACCAGCAAGTAACATCTTCCTCCCCTTCCTTGATTCAGAGGAGCGAGTCAGATGGCCCCTGTGCACTTGGCTTTGTCACCAGGGAGGCTCTGAGTGGGGCGTGTGTCACCTGACACTCAGCTCCACCGAAGGTGCAACTCATCACTCTCGCAAGTTACTTGCTGACCCTATCAGTCTTATGCAGCTGCCAGCCAGGAGGAGGATTACTTACCTGTGCTAGAGCTTGGATACTTGTATTGATATCACCGCTAGCTACCTGGGAGATAACAAAGTTGATGGTGGAAGCTGTGTTACTGTGCATATCATCAAAGTGTGGTGACACAGCACGGATCCTGAGTAGAGAAAGAATGTTACATTTAAGCTTTATCAGCTTTTATATCCACTTTCCTGGTGCCGTTGAGTCAAAATATTAAAAGTAATCCAACAGCCATAAAAAGCCATTTCAATTCAAAGTGTCACCCCAGTTTTACAATCAAAACAACTGATTCATGACAGAATAGCTGTGGCAGTGTGCAGACAGATCAGACCCTGTTGGGATATTCACACACAACAGCCCATCTTCAGTAGGCTATGGCACACATGTGTCCTCCATTTTGAATATGTGGCCCTTCGAAGATTTCATCGGATTCTGTCCACAAAAAAAGTTTAAGCTTCTTTATCCCTGTTCAACCTTTGTTCTAATCATTAAAGACTAAAAATATGCCCCCCCATGAAAACAGGTATCATTCTCAAAAAGCTGGTGGTGGAAAAAGATAGGTTGTGTACAATAATTAGGGCAGAGAACGTTGAATATACTCCTACTAAGAATTTCTTTAGTAACAGATTTGTTGAAAGATAAACTATTTTGCACCTCTGAATGCCCCTACACTTTAAAAGCTCTCCAAGCAGCTGCAGTAGCTGAAAAATTAGCACTATCATATTAATTAATTCATAAATCACTTTGCTTACCAGACACATGTGGCAATGTACTTCACAAAAGCCAGGAAATACCACAGGAAAAATTAGATAATAAATTTTGAAAGAAGCATTCAAAGGGAATAGTAACAAACCATTAAATGCTAGATGGAACAGAACATATTTGCTGCTCAATCTAAAGAAAAATACGGAAGATGCTAAACTTGTCTCCCTCAGGAGGGATTCTACAAGAGGAGTGTTCCTTTATATAGGAGAAAGAAAAGGAGGCTGAAATACTCCTCGACCCGGAGCTTTCTTTGGAAGCTCAGGTGACAGCGGTAGCGAGGAACGCCTTCCTTCAGCTTCAGCTGATTAATCAGCTGCGCCCCTACCTGGAGTACGACTGTCTGGCGACGGTGACACACACGCTGGTGACTTCCTGCCTAGACTTCTGTAACGCGCTTTACGTGGGGCTTCCCCTGAAGACAGTCTGAACACTTCAATTGGTGCAAAATAGAGCTGCCAGGTTGCTGACGGGGACGGGGCGTTATGCTCACATGACTCCAGTCCTCCGTCAGCTTCACTGGCTTCCCATTGAAGCCCGGGCCCAATTCAAGGTGTTGATTATGACCTATAAAGCCCTAAACGGCTTGGGTCCTGGCTACCTGAACGAGCGCTTACGTCCGTATATGCCCGACCGCCCTTTGAGATCTGCGGGAGAGTCCCTTCTCCAGGAACCCTCCATGAAAGAAATTAGGAGAGTAAGTACCCGGAGGAGGGCTTTCTCTGCGGTGGCGCCCAACCTATGGAATTCACTCCCCAAAGAGGTCTGCCTGGCACTGTCGTTACTGGTTTTTCGGCGCCAGGTAAAGACCTTTTTATTTAAACATCATTTCAATTGTTAAAACATATGATCTGGCCAGGGCAACTTCTTCTTCCTTCTCTTTCTCCTCCTATATTTTTATTTTATACTGATAATTTTAATTTTATATTTGTAAATCAATGTATTTTTGTATTTTTGTATTTAATGGTAATTTATTATGTACTATTGTATTTCAATGTATTTTATCATGTTGTAAGCCGCCCCGAGGTTTCGGCAAGGGGCGACATAGAAATGTTATAATAATAATAATAATAATAATAATAATAATAATAATAATAATAATAATATCTAGGTCTCCTTCAGGGCTCTCCATCTCTACTTACTTGGGTTCAGGGATCAAGACCGGTTCAAAGATGTCATCCAGCTTGTGTTGAACCAGTGCAGGCAATTCACATCGTACTGTACCATTATCATTTTCTATCTCATCTAGATCCAGCTGAAACTCCCGAGGTACTGCATGCGTTGTCTCTGCGTGGCCACTCATGTTACGGGCTTGGCTACAGAAACCAAGACAAACTTGCTTTTTTATTAGCAAAGACCCACATCTCTATTCATCAGGTCACTAATGCAGTCTGCCCCTCCCCACACACTGTTTTCTATGAGCTGCATATAATTTGAGGAAGAGGGATGCATTCCCTTTTTTCCTGCTGGCTTTTTACAGAATACCCAATGTCATGTCAGGGAAACTAACACTCCCTTCCCCAGTTCATACAGCGCTCAGCATGAGATGGGAAGATTTCTCTCCCTTCCTTCTGTGCTTTTGCAGCACTTGGAAGAATGGACGGGAGCACAGTTAATAAGTGGCTATTAAGTCAAGCCAACATGTGTAAATCCATCGATATGTTTGAATGCAACAATCCAAAAGTGATATAGTAGCTTCCATGGAATTTCCAGTGGGAATTCTTTTAACCTTCTAAGCAATTACTCTAGCAGTTGGTAATCCACAACCACTAGCAAGCTTGCAAAGGAGCTGCTGGCTTCTTCCTACAACTCTAAGTCGCATAGCACTGAAGAAGGAATGTACTACTATATCATGGTAAATTTATATTTAACAATATTTTAATCCTGATGAGTTTGTGATGCAGATATTTCCTTACACAGGCAGAAAACATCACAGTGAGCATTCCTCTATCAAGCACAAATTCAGGATTCCAAGTCATTTAAGGTGGGTGGATTTTACACCCTTCAAACTGAAGTTCCCATTATGTTCTTCTTGCTTGGGTTTATTTACTACTATAAGAGGTTATCTCATGGGATGGAGTACAACAAGAAGCACCACTTTTCTGAAGAGGCTTCAAGCTTAGGTTCACTTATCAAGTTCACAGTGGTCAACATCAAGCATTTTGTGAATGGACTTCTACTCCTCTGTGCCTATAGCTATTCTGCAGGCTCTCCCAACAATGTCAGGCAGATCTGCAAGGTGTACAGGAGGGCTGTAGGGAGAGTGGGAATTCATCCTGCCAACTGTCTGTTTTGCTGACAGATGGGCACAGCTGGATCTCTTTGGTTTTTAATTTCCAGAAAACTGACTAATCTTAGCCAAATCCAAGTGACTTAGGTTGCTGAGATCCAGACAGCACCTTTAACTGAGTGATGAGGCTTTTAAATATCATTGTAAAAACTGCCCTGGAGGCATAATGGCTTGCCTGACACTCTACAATGAACTTCACAGCAGGGAAGAAACTTGAAAGCCAAGCTTCCCAAAAGGAAGTCCAACTGTCTGTTCCTGGACGTCAGTGGTTCTCACAAACTTGCAATGAACTCAGTGAAGCTTATTTCCAAATATGTTAAGGATTAGGGATCATGAAAATGAAGACAAAATTATAAGAGCCCTACAACCAAGGATTTAGTGGTGAGTACTTACATCCTATAAGTGCGATACATAATTCTGTCCATGGAGAAGCAGTGAAAAAAGGCACAATACCATTTAGAAAGCATTCAAGACACAACAAAACAAATGAAGAAAGGTACAGACAATTTGCTTTGCAGTATTTTTGCAGTGTGTGGCACATGCAGACACAGATGATTAAAACAAAAGACATACACAAGGCAACAGCAAGTTATGTTTGTAGCACACACTGTGAAAGTATAAATAAGTGCATCTCTCCACAATACATACTTGAGTTTTGAAGACATGTCCTCAGCCGGCCCCTTTCGCAGCATATTCATGTTGGCATTGGCACTCTGAATGCGCTGTGGTTTCTCCTCCACCTGCCTTGCTAAAGCAGCATTTGGCCTCTTAGCAGACCGCTTTATTCGCTCCTCCAACATGCTCATGTCTTTCTCAGAAAGCTGTACAAAAGCAGCAGCATTTCAATGTCAGGACAGGTTTGCCAGCAAGAATGCGCTAAAGCTTTGCTATTCCTCCAAAGCATTTGACTTTGTGTACTGCACATTTATTCTACTGCTCCTGCTTTGGTTTTAGTATAAACTGCACCAGGACTCCTCTAACAATTAATTAGAAATAGGCAAAGTCCAGCATTTAATGAAATTATATGCTAGCACCAACCTTCACAGTATCACAAAGAGTGCATAGTCTAGTCTGGAAAACAGGTTAAAGGAGTTTCAAGGCAGCAATTTTATAAAATGTTTTAAATCCCAAGGAAGACTGCTGGCTTACAGTTTGAGTCAATGAAGCAGCAAAGTCTGCCAAGCCTGTGTTTTAGAAAAGTCATGCCTAATGAAGTGCATCCCACTTGCTTTTGATGAAAAGTCTGACTACAGAATAAATATATGAATTATAATCTAATCATGTGCTCAAGCCAGGAAGTTTCCGTATGGGCCAACTGCTTCAATGCCCTATTTTTTTGAAGTCACCTACCTGATAGAGGTTGGTAAAAATAGCAAAGCATTTTACAAGCGGCTAATCTTTAAAAAACTTTACATTTGAAAGGGGTGTGAACATTCTTAATACTCCAGTTTCAGTACTCTAATTTCCCGTACACCCAGGAGAATTTACTCTACATTGTCCAGACAGAAAGAATAGTATTGGCAAAATTAACTGAGTAGAAAATTTCATACTAAATCTGCTGCAGTTCTTTTCAGTTGCCCATCAAAACTTCAAAACTGCTCTGTCCCAGTAATGTTTTCAAGGACTTTCCAGTTCATAAGAAACACTGAGAATGCAGATGAATTTGCTCACTAAGGTGGCAAGCCCTATCCTTTTTGGCTTAGCACAGTCACATACCAATCAGTCACCACCATGCCCTGCTGTTATGTCCAAATCTTCCACCACACTTGTGAATGTTAGGTCTTCAAAGACTCATCTGCAGGTGTTCCCCTCATGTTGCCAGAAAGTGAACTTTAAGTATTACTGCAACTTGCAAGGCAGAATACTTTCCAAGAAATATATGGCTGAGGAAACGTATGGCCAGATTAAGACTCTGAATCTAAATTAAATTCCATTGGTGAGGAGGGCCCAGAGCAAAAGAAGCAGAACAAAAAATACCAAACACTAGCATATTTTAGCTTAAAGCTCTTATAGAAACTAAGACTTACAAGGGGCATTTCAGCCAGAAAACATGCTGTCGGCCTTCATCCCTTTGTGTCAGAAGCTGCTGTACTATGGCTGTTCACTCATCCCATCCTCTGGGTGACCCAGTAACTATTAAGGATGTTAAGCATTACTTCTTTTCTATTTACTCACATTTCCAATCAGCTTGAACACTTGATCCCCATGCACATTGTAAACCGTTACAATGGTGTTGAGTGCAGCATTTCGGACAGTGTTGTCCCTGTCTCCAATATGAGTTGCCATTTCCTTTAAGGCTTTGCCTGGAGTTGGCTGGCACACATTCATTCCATATGACTCAACTAGACAACCCAACTCTTCCAAGCACTCTAAGGGAAAAACAAAAACAGATGTCTGTGAAAGCTACTTTTATATGAAAAATTGAATTTATTTTGAAAAATAGCAAAAATATTCTATTTACTCATTTTCAAGGAAAATGTAAAAGGTATCTGCCTTGAAAGAACCCATCTGAAAATCTTTTAACTATCCACGTAAGCAGGCCAATACAGTCTACTCCTTCTGCATGCTCTGGTCTCACAATCCTCCCCATCAGCTGGGTCGTTAAAAGGCAACATCACAAAGACTTTCAAGTACCAAAATAACCACTGTACAAATGAGCTGTCCAAACAAGAACTGTAGTCCCATGACATGAAGTGAAACATGTCTGCTAGTACACATGTTCTGCAACAGTTCAGTTTCACAAATGCTTTCAAGAATGCCTTCTTTAACCAAACCTGCCTAACTCCAGAATGTGTCTTCTCTGGCTGTATTTGTATCCCTAGGGCCTGGGCCTTACCCTGGATTTGTTTGGCAAACTGCCCAGGCCTGCCAAAATTATTTATTAAGATGCTCAAATTCTATCACATGTGGCTTGAGGAAAGTAATGGATTTTTATCCTTCTAGAGATGTCAGTTAGCCAGGATGTTAGTATTTTCATTAAGTTACTGGATAGTTAAGTTACCGGATAGTTAAGTGCAGTGCAATGGCTGGATTGCTAGACTGGGACTCCAAAAACCTGGGCTACAGTCCCTGCTCAGCCATGAAGCTCACTTTGGGCCAGACATGGACTCTCAGCCTAGCCAATCTCACAGGGTTGTTGTGAGGATGAAATTAAGAAGAGGATTATTGTAAGCTGCCTTGGGTTCCTTGCAGGAAAAAAGGCAGGACAGAATTGTAATCAATAAATAAGCACTGGAGATATATTTAAGCTTTACTATAATTAACAGTGTCTGTAAATTTTGCATTTACTTTCCTTCTCCTTCCTCAATGCTTACTTCCCTTCAAATATGCACCTCTCCCCCACACAACCAGAAGTCTATTTCATGCTAGTGCCAATTTGTTTTAACTCAAGCATTTCCTGATCAATAATACATCAGCAATAAGCAGCAACAGCTTCCCACCTGCTCTCTGTTTTGAGTTCTTTGATTTTGTTCCCTCCATGATAAGAGTGAACATCTTGCTAGCTGGGTAAACGAGGCACATCCTGTTCAGAATTGCACGTACATCCCTTCGGATAACATCTTTTGGTTCTCCAACCTGAAAGGTGAAAAAGAGGAAATATTTGGAAATTTACAGAAAGTGGAAGTTACCAATGGGTGGGAAGGCATCAAATTCGATCCTGTAACCTCTCTGGATAAAAGACAGCACCCAAGTATATGATGTAATCACGTGCCATGCAGCCAAGATGGAAGAGAAAGATGGTCCCAAAATCAACATTAGAAGGCGGTAGTCTAAAGGGAGACAAGGGGACAGCTCCTAGAAACGGTTATTGCCTCCTTCCCCCATCCCTATCTATCCACCTATGACCTTAGAGGTACTGGGAGGCATTGTCCTTCCTCCTCTGAAAGGGAGGCTGTTACTGGCAGTGTGCCCTGTTTGGGGGCAGGGAAAAGAACTTCCCTGCCCAAACCACTTAGGTGGTCTGGCAGTGGGGTAATGGAAAAACCCAATTCTCCATGCCATTGCCCTTGCCTTATGGATGCTATCTTTGTATTCATCTGTCTTTTGTGTTGAAAAGCACAGAAGAGCAGGTCCTTGATATGGGAGTGGACAATGCAGCTACACATGCATCCTGAGTGCCACCATGCTGATCACTGCCTTGGCTCCACAGTGTGTCCAATGTCTAGCAGCACTGATTTGAAACCTTGAAAGGTGCACTGTCTTGTTCTGGAATACCTTGCTGAGGTCCTGTTCTCTTCCAGTAGACAGTCACACAGGGAGTCCAGCTTCTTCCAGAGGAAGAGGTGGTACCTCGTCATGGTGACATAGGTTGAGGTATAGATGCACCTCCCCAGAGTATCTAGGCAGTGTCTCTCAACATCAGATGGGGTGGAGTGCTGGGGAGGCAACCTTCCCTGAACTGATTCAATAACCAGAGTTCGGCTTGGGGTGATGGAAGAGGAAGGCCACATCCTTCTCCTGCATGTGATACATTCCCTCCAACTGTTTTAATGTTGAAACCAGTGATGAAGGAGCCTTCCAGGACTGCTGGGCAGCCTGGAGGAGAGTTGAAAGGGATGGCAACTGGTGTTAATTCTTTAGTTGTGCAGGCATTGAAGACCAGATCAGCTATCTTCTCTGGCTGTGTCTGGGCCTTATGCTGGATTTGCTTGGCAAACTGCACAGGTCTTCAGTGGTGAGGTGGGCTCGTAACCCTCAATGTTTGTTGGTGAGGATGGGTTGCCGAGATGATGTAGGTGAGCTTGGCTGATGCAGGAGCAGCAGGCAGTTCTACAGAGTGATGGAACTCTTGGGGCTGAAGAAGTGAGCCAGAGTGCTATGGATGGACAAAGCACTGGCCGTTTGGCGATTCTCCACACTCCCCAAAGGTATCTGCATGGTACACCGGTCCCAGGAGCCCCAGTACAATTGAGGTAGCAGTGAAACTACATGCCTGCTCCAGTCTGAGACTGGGGAGTGGGGGTGTTCTCTGCAGACCTCGGTACCAAGCAGCTCCAGTGGCACATGGGCCAGGGATAGTGCTGTGGGTGCCCTTGAGACTGTGATGGAAGGGAGGGATTGAGACAGTTGCTTATCTCTGGTTTCACCCTCCAATACTGATGCTGTGACAGGTTCAGTTCTCAATACAGGTGCTGATCTTGGAACTGTAAGAGAGGCACCCACAGGCAGTTCTGCTCAAGGTGGTGCCAGGCACAGCTTCATGCGGTGCTGCTTCAGCGCCACAGCCTTTGGAAAGGGCTTCCTTCGCCTGTCTGGCCAGCTTCTTGGCCTTTTTATACTTTACCATCTTGCCCAGAGTAGGGGATGGTGAAGAGCCCAACAAGAGCATTGCCAATGGTGCAGTGGCTGAGGCAGAAAGCACAGACCTGTCTGAATGGAGGGAGGTTGCTATAGATGAGTGAGAAGCTCCAGGCAAAGTCAGGAGCTTCTACTACATGAAGGGCCTAATTCCAAAGCTCTTGAATGGAGACAATGGGCCCTTTGCTTCCATGCCTGTTTAGAGAATGCCTGACAATACGGGCACTGATTGACAACTGGCCCTTCTCACGCACAACAAGCACAGAGAATGATCAGATGCGAGCAGCCTAGCACTGCAGTGGACGCATTTGCAAAAGGAAGCCTTCAATGCCATTGCAAAAGGAAGCCTTCAATGCCATTGCAAAAAGAGGGCGGAGAGGTAAGAAAATAGTTGAAAGAACAAGGAGTGAGACAGATAGGGCAGACAGAGGAGTTCTTTCTTATTCTTATAAAGCAGAATAAAAAGCAGGCAAGAGAAAAATAGGGTTTGAAACTAAAGAACAAAGAAAATCAGTATTATTAGATAAAGGTGAGAAACGAGAGAGAGAGAGAGAGAGAGAGAGAGAGAGAGAGAGAGAGAGAGAGAGAGAGAGAGAGAGCGCGCGCGCGCGCGCGCGAGCACGCTTCCCAAAACACCAAAAGTGGTTGAAGAAGACCTGAGGTAAATAGCAGGAGCCCCTCCCTTTTACATGGATCCTGGGGAAACGAGCTCCTGCCAAAACACTCTCAGCTGTTAAATCTTCCCAGCAACAGACTCCACACAGGCATGGAGCCTGTGTGTGAGATGCACAGGGACCAAAAAGAACAACCATCAGTATTTTTTGCATGGAGGGAGCTGGTTCCAGTCCACCCCACAGCCAAGTCATTCTTCAAAACAAGCTGTGTTCTAGTGGACACAGTGGGAAAGTATTTTAAAGGTCTGTACCACTGCATAGCAACAGATGAGGAGGAGAAACTGCTGACATTCTTAGTTTGTGAATATAAAAAACTGAACATGCTCCAGAAGTGGAGTGAGTTACTCCTCCTGTTTGCTTTAAGCATATGGAAATCAGAACCTTCCAACTGTCTAGAAGAGTAACAGACTTCCCAGTTCTAGTCATGCTCACTGGAGAGCCCAGGCAGAGCTCTACTCCAGCACAGGTTTTCAGTGCATCTTGTTAGTGACAAGATTCAGATTTTTTTTTCTCTCCTGCCACAGCTTAGGATCAAGATAAAATAACTATTCAGTTTTGTCGGATTTCAGTTACCTTTAGAATAAGATAGGGAATGAAGGATGTGGCCTCATTTTCTGTAAGATGGTATTCTTCTTGGTTCAGCATAGTGAAAAGCAACTTCAGGTACTCTAGAACCTTCATGAGGACGCTTGTGTTGGTATCAAAAAACCTCAGGGTAAGCCACTTCAGGATCAGATCCAAACAGCTGATAACTCCATCCTTTTCACTCTCCAAGTGCTTGAGAAAAAGTAGACGGGAGTGTTCAGTTTTGACTAAAAGGCAGCATTTACAACAAAATCTCATTAACCAAATGATCACCAGTTGATTTTCCTAGTACCAGAGGTACTGAAGGTGGCTGCCCCTGCATGCATAACAGCTACTTGTATCAACTCTAATAATCAATTTAATTGGCACAATGCCTTACAGGAAAAACTGGGAAGCCAGGACTAATGCCATTGTTCTCATGCAATTATTATGCAAGGCTTTAAAATGAGCAGGTTTGTTCCAAAACTTGCTTGACCCAGGAAAGCCTTTATGCTGCTATCACTAGTTTTCCAGCAGGTTTTTTTCTTTTCCTCACCTCAGTCATTACACTAAGAGCTTTGTTATGGTGCTGAAAATCTGCATGAAACATTTCATCCTGCAACCACTTGGCAACACAGCTGGACATTTGAGTCTTCAGTTGCTCAATATATTCATCACGAGGAGTAGTAAAATTCCATTTCAAAACCTACAGAGAGGGGGAAACCACAATATTTTACTCAACACAAATTAGAAAACCAGTAACATAACTCCTAGGCTAACTCATTCTCTAGCTTAGAAGTGGCATGCTTATAAGAGACTGATCATGCACACACAGAATCTCAATCAGCATCTATCTACTTAATTACTCTGCCTGCACATGCCCTCCTTTAGATCCCTAATACCAAGGAATTATATTTACAACTACAGATTTGTAACTCGAAGTGGTCTATGCTATATATAAAAGCAATTCCCTACAAAGAATACATTCCTATAATACTTTGCAAACATCCTTAGGAAATAACCCAGAGACTAATACATCCTGATATATGTAATACCAAAGTAGCCTGGTACTCAAGAGTGACAGTTTTTCTTCAGTATAGTTTTAGAGATCACTAATTGCCAGTTTCTCTCACCTTTAATCCTTTTTCATCTTTCATTCGCTGTTCTTTCCCATTTGGAACTAAGATAAAAACTGGGCCAGATCTGTCATCATCCTCCTTCAGGTTGGACTTGCTTGGTATCTTTTTTCCCTGTATACCCTACAAAAGAAAAATGGTGAGGATTTGTCAAACTTAGCCTCCAGCACTAGGCTCCAATTCTTGTACCTGGGAGTAAGTTCCAACATGGAGTAACTCAAACAGACTTGCTTCTGAGTAGATACATCCTGAACTGTACTCAAAGCAAGCTTTATTCTAACTGATAAGCATGCATGGCTAAACCTTGTCCCATACAGATAGTGTGTTAGAATGTGCACTGATACCCTCAGGTATACATCTTAGTACTGTGAAGAGAAAGCCCACCACAGTGCACAATAGTTTTAGCATAGCAAGTGACTAGTCAGTGCCCCAGTCGTTAAGTGGTATCCACGGATTACCTGTTTGATAGGCCTGTTCTTTGTAAGATTGTTATTGCCTTTGGTGAGGCTTATATTAGCATCAAAATGCTGAAACAAGTCATCAAATGCCCCATGGTTAACAGCAAATTTCCAAATCGTACCATTAAACCCTGAAATCCCAAATCTACTATTATACCACATCAGAATTATTTTTAAAACTTCTGAGTTTTACATAAAACATGGAACATCTGATAATGGGGAAATTTATCACGCTTTCTTAGGACCTTGTCTATTTACGAAATCCTGAAGTTCAAAGAAAATCACCACACTGAATGGCATTTGCACATCAAGTGTGACAAAACTGACAGTAGATTTCTTCTCAATAGCCAGTCTTCACAAAATAGCTTACATGTTCCTGCTCTGGGACAATGTTGGATCTTTTGTCTATTGAAGGCAAAGAACCTACATAGCACCAGACTGTTATAATCTGCTCGAGAATGGACAGGCAGATTTCTTGGGTTCCATTATTCAATTAGGTTTTTTTTTGGGGGGGGCAGAGGGTGAATTAATGGAACACTTTCTTGGGGGCAGTGGGGATTATCAAGCTTGCTTGCATGCTTGCTTGCTTATTTATTTATTTAGGAGACTTCTATGCCGCCCCATTCGCCGAAGCCTCGGGGCGGCTCACATCCATAAATAAACTTCCATAGAATAATATAAATTAACAGTATAAATTAAGAGTATAAATTAAGTCGCCCTGGCCAACTTCATCAAGTCAAGTCAGTAACTTTGGCTCTAGGCACCACAAGGAATTAAGATCTTTTGACACAGGCACGTAAAAGGCTTCAAGGGATTTTCCCTGTACTTTCTTACAAAAGAGAAAGGGATCTTCAGTACCATTTACCCAATGTATTCTTCCAGTTCATACACAACTCTATTCTTCCCTTACCTATAGTCAACCATAGTAATTTTCTATGGTACCTTCACCGAAATCTTATAATTTTGTATTATTTTATACACACTTTCAACTGCAAAAGAGCTGACAAGTGAATGAATGTCTCCAAACAAGAACAACAAATCCCCTTCCCTCTCCCTTTGGCTTCTCAGGTTTTAATCCAAGGAAAGAACCTCGACATGCAGAGTTGCAGTCAAATTCCAATTCATTCTTTCGCCGCTTTGCAGACTCATTAGGTTTGCCACAAAAGAGTAGCGAGAGTACCAGCAGTTCCAACTCCAGCTCCCTATACATTTTCAAGTCACTGCAGAGTACTTCTGGCGATAATAGTAGGGTAGGAATCTGTAATCCGCCAGATGTTGAATTCCAATTCCCATCAGCCACAGCTAGCACAGCCAGAGACCTGGGACAACTGGAGTTGAAGTCTAACAACATCTGAAAGGGAACAAGTTGCCCATGTCTGCCCTAGCAGCTCACCTGAGCCAGAAGGAACATTGGCCGAGTTCTTTTTAGCAGAGGTTTAAGTCAGGCAGGCAGAACTGAAAGTCTACAGTGCCACAGAACCAATAAATGTTAAAAATTGCTTCTTAACATTGGTACAGTCATAGTGATCATATAGTTACGGAATTTTCATTTTAACAAAAATAAGAGAGTGGCTCCTGATTACAAGTGCTTTCTCATCACACCCTAGTTTTGTGACAAAGGTTTTCCCCACCCACCCCCAGTATCTAGCATCTTTTCCATATTATAGCATTATCCACCCAACCTGTTGCCTCCTCATCACACAATGTCTTTCAACTTAATTAAAATAGGCAGCATTGACTGATTAATGGAAGCAGATGAATAGATGAAGCTGCCTAATAACAAGTCAGATCATTGGTCTGTTTAATACCAAAATATTGATGCTTATCAGCAGTAGCTCTTCAAGGACTCCAGCAAAATTGTCCCATTCAGCTACTCAAGGTTTCTCCACTCCCTTTTTTTAATTAGAGAGGCTAGAGGTATTTTCAAAGCATGCAGTCCAGTAAAGTGGTTTGATACACAGTTTCCTCTACTCTGCCCTACAACAGTCATTAGTATTCAACTTCTTCATGTTTCCTATACTGCAGAAAGGGAGTAATTTATTTTTCATGGACAATATTTAACTTTATGAAACCATTCCACATGTCATGATCAGTTGGTGATGTGTGTGTGTGTGTGTGTGTGAGACTAGGGAGACTTTGTTGCATTCATATTCACAAATATTAATAGAGATTATCCCTTTATAGCATAGAATACTTCCTGGGGCAAAGGGGATAGGATGGAACATTTTAAAATTATAGTATTGTTGTACAACAAAATTATGACCAACTGTAATTATGTAGCATCAACACCATTCACCACATACTTTGTGCTGAAAAAATTACCTTGGGTTTAGGGGCACTTCCTCCTGCTTTGGTCTTTTTAGCATCAGGTTTGGTTTCCATAGTGCTGGATGAAAAATCTTCACCAGAACCTTAGGAGAAAGAGATGAAACACAGTGAAATTAAAACGAACATAACAAGTTTGCTACTCCAAAGGAAGGTCTGTGCTTTCTTTTCTTAAAGTGATGCCCCACATATTACATTACCAACTGCCTTTGAGACAGAGATGACTTTAAGAAGTATTTTTAAATAAAGAGAAACAGGAATTAATTCAAAGTGAAAAATAGATTCATGGATATTTATTTATTTACTGCATTTTTACTGTCTTTCCAGGACCAAGCAACATGGTTTACAAAAAGTTCAGAACATAAAAAACACAGGAAAATAAAAACTTAAGTAAAACAAAAGACTTGGAACACACCTGCAGCAGCTCTTTAATATTGAACCACAGGTTCAGTTTCTAAGAAAACTGTCAATGAGACAATATATTACCATTAAATCTCTTTAGACCCCTCTGAAGCAGCAAAAGTACATGCTGAGATTTTACATAAAAGCGACAGCACTAATTCAACCCATCCAATGTAAGACTGAAATTGCCCCACCTTTACAGCTTATTATTAAGACAGGCCACAAGAAAAAAATACATATTTCCTTTAATATATTAAATACTACTGGGAATTAATTTGGTTCTCTTTGCTGAAACAGTTAAAGTGCTCGCTCTTTATATTTGACCCTTATAAAAGTCACACACATATGGATGCTTTACTCATCCTTTAAAACAACATATTCTGGATAGAACACTGAGGCAACTCACCTGTAAGCTTTTTATTCAGATAGTATATGAACTCAGACAACACTCCAACATTATTTAACCCACAGTGAGCTACAGTACCTGCAGGTGCCAGGTTAAACTACCCTTAGAGGTTTTTGTATTAGGTAAACCCATGGGTAAGCATGGGTTCTGTGAGTGTTACACAATGCTTACACAGTCAGACTTAAGGTTAAATTATTAATATATTAATTTATGCACACAGAGATTAACATGATTATTAGTTATATTTAACTTGCATATAACTTTTGCTCACCATATTTGCATGGTGCAACAACCTGCGAGCAGGGCTGCAGGTTTAAAATGGCAGCTGCACACCCTGCAACATCACCATGGATTAATAGCCAACAACACACTATCAGGTACCCATCATATTTTATAAGAGCTGAACAGATACAAAAGCAATTCAGATAGCAGCTGAATTTTTTCCAACAGAAAAACTTATAACCCATAAGGTTACTTTGAGATTCCACAGTTCTAAAGACAGTTAAAATACTGCAGTATCTCAAGATACCTCAGTCATACCTTACTATTATCACCCAAATTCTTTCTTTGTTCTTAATTGGTCTACAGATTCATTCACAATGTTATCTCAGTCCATTTTACATTAAAAAATTAACTTGCCTCAAATGAGACAAGTTAATGGGATAAAGAAAGATTACCCGAAGCAGCTTGAGATTTGGCTGGAGCTGCTCCTACAGCTCTGGAAGATGCCTTAGTAGGTGGAGCAGGTTTTGCAGGCATATTGGCTTTGGCTTTTTCAAGCATGGCCAGTACTTGGTCTTTGGAAGCTGGCTAGAGAACAAAAGAAAGAGCTTAAGGCACTCATGTCAAATCCCACTTCATAAGCAACGTGGCTGCAACTACATTTGCTCCTAAGACTCTCCATAAAAAATAGCTTCCCCAAAGAGAGAGCCCTCTGAATGTCAACGTAAGGGAAACAAGATGGTGATCATGTCCTGAATTCTACCTAGATTATAAAGCCATTTCACCCAGTATGCAAATGTTGCTAAAGTTTCTGTACTAATAATCAGATCCATTACATGGTTTTAATGATTGCTCAAATGCTTAATTTACTAGAAACTCATTCATTTATTTGCACAGACATACCATTTGTACTCAGCTTATTATTTGGCTACAAATTTAAACAAAAGTTGCATCTGCCATACCTTCAGCTTGCCAGTGGCTTTGGCCATCTTCTCAAACCCTAAATGCATCATAAAGAATGGCAAAGCATCTTGTGCCTTTTTTCGGACATCTCCATTTCGATCCTCTAGGCAAGAGTACAGGTGAGGCACACACAAGGCCAAGTCTGATGGGACAGTACGGAGTGTGGGCAACTTATCAGCCAGCCAACCTAAAAGCTAAAACAAAGCAGAAATGTCTTATATCTACCAAATGTGATGCAGATATAAGATATACTAAGCAGAAGCTAAAATGTTATACTAAAATAATTCATCGCAGTACATCTAGCAGAATCTATTGATATGTCATTGATTTTGTTGTGGTTTTTATGAATTCTTGCCAAAGGCACCCAGGTTGCCCTCACATCCAGGACCACTTAAGAGAGCTTTGGCTACTGGGCTATATAGAAATAAATGTGAATAATTGAATATTGTCAAGGTTACCAAAACCATTCACCTGGTTATCTATAGCATTTTCTGAAACTGCAAAAGTTCTGAAAGATTCTCAACAGTCTCTTTCCATGTCCTGTGTAGAGAGGGGATCCATCTCTCACACATTACAGACTGCTCAGATATATTTGACTGATTCTGAGAAGGTGGAGGCGTGGGGAAGGGGAGTTGACTGATTACTACTGAAGGTTCTCAGACAGAATGTGAGACTCTGCCTGCTTTGGAAAAGGAAGTAGTTTTTCAGGGTGAGGAACATATGCAGGAAGAACTCCTTGACTCAGTCAGGAGGTGGCAGGAGAAGCAAGCTGCTCAGTTACAAGGTCTCTGGCATTCTTGTTGTCTAGCCCTCCATCCTGAGGGTAGAGTCAGAAGGTTTACTGAAAGAAAGGGCCAGAGCCGAAGTTTCCATTTGGATCCAAGTCCTTACATGGGCAAGTTCTTATCCCACCATTGTAGAAGAATGCTGCTTTTATGCATTGTTGTTGTTGTTGTTGTTGTTGTTAGTCGCGAAGTCATGTCCGACCCATTGCGACCCCATGGACCACATTCCTCCAGGCCGTCCTGCCCTCCACCATCCCCCAGAGTCCACTTAAGCTCACACCAACTGCTTCAGTGACTCTATCTAGCCACCTCATCCTCTGCCGTCCCCTTCTTCTTTTGCCATCTATTGTTCCCAGCTTCAGGCTCTTCTCCAGGGAGTCCTTCCTTCTCATTAGGTGGCCAAAGGATTTGAGTTTCATCTTCAGGATCTGGCCTTCTAAAGAGCTGTCAGGGTTGATCTCCTCTAGGACTGACCGGTTTGATCGCCTTGTGGTCCAAGGGACTCGCAGGAGTCTCCTCCAGCACCACAATTCAAAGGACTCAATCCTTCGGCGCTCAGCCTTCCTTATGGTCCAGCTTTCATAGCCATACACTGCAACTGGGAAAACCGTAGCCTTGACTATATGCACTTTTGTTGGCAGCATGATGTCTCTGCTTTTTAGTATGCTGTCTAGATTTGCCATAGCTTTACTCCCCAGGAGCAAGCGACTTTTAATTTCTGGGCTGCAGTCCCCATCTGCAGTGATCTTGGAGCCCAGGAAAATAAAATCTGTCACTACCTCCATTTCTTCCCCATCTATTTGCCAGGAAGTGAGAGGCTCGGATGCCATGATCTTAGTTTTCTTAATGTTGAGTTTCAAGTCAACTTTTGTGCTCTCCTCCTTTACCCGCATCAAGAGGCTCTTTAGTTCCTCTTCACTTTCTGCCATGAGAGTGGTATCATCTGCATATCTGAGGTTGTTGATATTTCTCCTAGCAATCTTAATTCCAATTGGTGATTCATCTAGCCCCGCCTTTCTCATGATGTGCTCTGCATATAAGTTAAATAGACAGGGCGACAGTATACAGCCTTGCCGAACTCCTTTCTCAATTTTGAACCAATCAGTGGTTCCGTGTCCAGTTCTCACTGTTGCTTCTTGACCCATATATAGGTTTCTCAAGAGACAAATAAGATGGTCTGGGACTCCCATCTCTTTAAGAACTTGCCACAATTTGTTGTGATCCACACAATCAAAGGCTTTAGCATAGTCAATGAAGCAGAAGTAGATGTTTTTCTGGAACTCCCTAGCTTTCTCCATGATCCAGCGTATGTTGGCAATTTGATCTCTAGTTCCTCTCCCTCTTCAAAATCCTGCCTGTACTTCTGGTAATTCTTGGTCCACATACTGCTGGAGCCTAGATTGTGGGATTTTGAGCATCACTTTGCTAGCATGTGAGCTTTTATTCATACTCTTCTGCAATCAATCAGGTTTCAAGTAAGACCTAGGCTTCTAAGGTTTTGCTCAAGTTTGGGAGGGAAATAGGGAAGTGACCTACGAGTTCACAGTGTCATGTAAAACATTTCTCAAATTTAACCACTAACACACAGCCTTCCCTAACCTCTTCCAGATGTTTTGGACTACAACTCCCATTAGCCATGCTAGTTGGAGTTGATGGTAGCTGAAGATCAAAACACCTGGAGGGCACCAGTATGGGAAAGCCTGATGCTATTTAGGTATGTTTCTAGAGCCACAAAAATATCGACTTCATATCTAGAAGACATGGACCTCCAACCTGCAGTAGAAAGCAAGCATAACTGTTAAAGGCTAATGGAAGAAATCATGGATTTTGGAGAGACAGCAGTGCTTAGCTGACAAGGAGACACTGAACAAGGACACTGGCCCATGCAAGCTACTGGAGGAGCAAAGATTTGCGGTATGCGGGCCAGTTATCATTGAGCCACAATGGATGCTATATTGACACTCAAGGTGAAATGTTATAGTACTTGCACCATATGGCCCAAACAAAATATATCCACAAGCTCTGTTGATAAGAAAGAATGAGGAAATACACAGTCAGGAATCAAGAGGAAAGTGGTGAATGAATATACAAAAACTGAGATCAAATATTCCTTATCTAAGCCAACATTTCAGAAATCACTACTTTGCTCTTTAGTAAACTACTTCAGAATGTTCCTATTTGACACTTGCTGCTCTTGAGACATGGAACTGGCACATCCTCCAAGCATATGGTACAAAGAATGGTCGCATTTTACTGCAGTACAAATATTTACTTGAAAACTCAACACCAAATGGATTGGCTTCTCACAGATTCATTTTGTATGCAATATAAGCAAGTATTACACTTATAGGATACCATTCTTACCTCTTGCCTGAGGAAAGGGTTCTCTTTCTTGAGCTCTTCAGACAGGTCTTCCCCTTCCAACCACTCTTTCATGCCTGTTTGTTCTGCCCAGGCATTCACAGTTGCTAGGGAAGCTGTTCGCACATTGTTCTGAAGCAAAAACATGAACACATGATAATCCTCAAAATTAAGGTGATTAATTTTGTCAAGGTTTTTCAGTATCTTTATGAAGGGTATAACTTACTACATAAGGGCACCAAAACTTGCTAACAGAATAGGAAAATCTTTCTCTCTTTCAGGAACCAATTTAATGCAACACAAATAAGTCACAGCCAAGGCTGCAAGAAGCTGTACTTTTCATCACCTAATCCCACAGTAATTTTACAAAACAGATAGGGAGGATTGAAAGTAGAATACAGGAGAGAATCATATCTATTTGTGAAATATTGCTTGGGCACACTAAGAGGGAATTTACTTTTACACAGATTCTCAGTGAAACTAAAGTCATGGAACAATGGCTTCTTAAGGAAAAGCAACTAATGTAGACCCATGAAACACAACTGTGACTTGCATAAAGCAGTCCCACCTATTTTGCATTTTTGTGTAGAGCCCATGAAGTAAAACTGGAAGAAGAGAGGAGGGGAAAAGAACTTTTTCCCCCTTTCTTGCCCTTGCCCCTCTTCCCCCACTGACTCTGGGCTAACTCAACCTGATCCAGCTAAGGAGATCAGGAACCTGCCTTCCATGCTCTCAGCACTGAGTGGATGACAAGCCATGGCGCATCACGGATGAGTATCAGTACAGACATGATCCATCTGCAGTGCTTTCAGGGAGATGAATATTCAAACATGCACTTATCTGACAGCACCACTATGTAGACGGACAACACTGCATAGTATTACTCATCCCTAGCAACTCACTTACACAGAACTCTGTTCTAAAATACAGTGGTACCTTGGCTCATGAACTTAGTCTGTTCCAGGACTCCGGTTGTGACCCAAATTGGTCATGAGCCAAGTTAAATTTCCCCATAAGGCTCAATATAAATAAGGTTAATCCGTTCTGTATTATTTTTTTTTAAATCAGAAACATGTGAAGAAGCAAAGGGACAAAGAACAACAAAGATTGCAGTCATCTCCCTGCTCCCCCCCAGCACGACTGCAATCGTGCCTGCCATCCCTGCACGTGCCCGTCATCCCACCGTGCAGGGGGTGGGGGGAGAGACAGGCGCAAACATGGGCACATGGGTGGGGGGGAGAGATGGACGCGATCATGCTGAGGGGGGGAGATGGTCAAGATCGTGGTTGTGCTCTTGCAGGAAAGACAAGAGCAATCACAGAAGCACTCCTGCTGGAAAGACAACTGTGATCTCGGCCATCTCCCCCGCCCCCCGTTCCCAGCACGACTGCAGCCATCTCCCCATTCGGGGGGCGGGGGAGATGACCGCAATTGCGGTCACCACCCAATGTGGAGTTCGCGACCTGAGTCAAAATTTTTATGAAATTTTTGTTCACAACTGATTTGGTTGTGAACTGAGGCATTAGTGAGCCAAGGTACCACTATATATAGCTTGAAAGACCACAGGAAAAAGAATGGTAAAGGAGCAGTTTAAAAGGATCAGGGGAGTGGGGCTGAAAGGATGCAAATTGTCATGGCACACATGGAGGGAGAGGGAATCAGCAAGATCTTCTTGCAAAACCTGTGGGTATCCCAAGTATGAGTGAACCAACCGCTCCCTGGGCCTGTTTTAGCACCAAACAGATATGACTGGAATACCAACTATAACAGAGGAAGTGATACACTACAGTCAAACAAGAAAGCACCTGTTAGGAAGGGCTACACAGAATCAGAGCTGGAAGGGTTTGTTGGAGCTCATCTACTCTAATCCCTGCCCAATGTAGAATCTACAAGGAAATATGCAGCTACAGCATCCCTTATAGGTTGCTGTGCAGCCTCTGCTTAAATACCTCCCATCAAAGGCAAACCTAGCACTTAAGAAGGCAGACTGCTCCAATGTCAAAAAGCTCTTATCTTCTGGAAGTTTCTCTTAATGTCTAGTCAAAGCCTATTCCCCTGCAATTTTCAATCATCAGTTCTAGCCGATTCTCTATTGCCCAAGAGAAAAGGACTAAATCTGTTCCATTCTCTGACACCCCTTCAGACATCTGAAGATTACTATCATTTTCTCTTAATATTCTCTTCAAGTTAGACATATCCAGCGTTTACAATCTTTACTGATAGGTCTTGGTTTCCAACCCCCTTATCACCTCAAAAATACTTTCAAAACAAGAAGGTAAACTTCCCTTTACACTCAATCTTTCCACTAAGGAGCTTTCAAAAAGCTTAAAATGCCCTTTTATCATACGCATATAGTTAGCAAAAGGTAATATGCACAATATGGATGATATTCCTAAAGGCTGTACGGAGAAGTATGTGACTATACCTTACTATCTCCAAGGATTGTAATGATGGGAATACCCAAGTTTTTCACATACTGCTTGATATTTGGGCCCATCGCAGTGGCCAGCTGCTGGAGAATGGTCAATGTTTGCTGCACCTGGAAGGAAAAGGAAGTACATCAATGCTACCTGTCCCCAGGCTTTACACAATTTAAATAGCAAGGTCCTTAAAGTCTGGGTTCCATGACTACTGAAATCCCATCTCAATTTTCTGTTTACAAAGCATTATTACATCCGAACAGGTATCTATGCAAATATGTATATTTAATTTTCCATACCTCATTCCTGCTACTTTCACTGAGCAAGATCCTGGGGATCACAACTGAAAATGTATACATTTGCTTTGTTTTTAAAATTGCCATTCCACTCAGTGAGTGCTTAGATAGGAGTTAGTTTTTTTTAATGAAGTTAAAAAATGATACAGTATTTATACCATATTAAAACAGGGGAAATAAAACAGCTCTTAAATCAAGAAATGGTATTAGTTACTAAAAGCTTAGAAGAATGCTGTCTTATCAAACATCTAAGGTACCATCAGGAAGGAGACAATCTAGTCTCCCTGGGAAAAGAATTCTACAGACGAACGCGCTGTCACACAGAAGCCCTGCCTTGAGCCTCCCCTAACCTGACCTCCCTTAGAGGTGGAACATGTCAGCCTTAGCAGATGAATACAGCTTTTCAGGCAGGATAATATGGGGAGATATTCTTGGAATGCAGGGCTTGGAAACAAATAAGCCAGTGAGGCTGTTTCAAAACTAGTGTTATGTGAGTGAATGTCACCTTTCACAAACTTCAACTGGTATCAGTGTTTCAAAGCCTGTCAGAAAAAGCACGTTACTAGATGGATTTGAATCTTTCTAAATTTTCCTTATCATGCCATACTGTAGTGTACAGTATACTGCACTGCTCTGTACTCAAAACTACATGCATTTTATGGCCATTTATAGACAAACTAGTCTCAATGTAAATTTTCATTTGTTTCGATCATAGGATTATTGTAAGCCATCCTGGAACTTTTGTATAGGATGGGGTAAAAAAAAGTTTTAAATAGATAGAACAAATTCTAATCATCTTTGGTGGGCTTCTAGGATAAAGGTACTGTAGAATTAACAGTGCATTATGAAATCTGCCCAACTGTGCTTTGGAGCATATACTACAAGAAGAGTAACAAAATCTAATTGTACCTTTATTGTGTTTTCCCTGCAGAATGCATTTCCTCTAGTTTGATAAGAATGGAGTAGGTTCTTGTACACAGGTATCTATTACTGTACCATTTTCCCCAGCTAATGGAGAAAGACCTGCCACATCAATAGATGCATTGGCAATTACAGAAATCCAAAGTTTCTTATTGTACAAAAGGGATTAAATAGCATACTCTGTAATACTGTCACATCAATTCTGTTTACAAGATTGAATTGAAGCTGGTATTCTGGGGAGTGAGAGGTAGAACTTAAATAGCATACCAGGATTTTATTGGAATCATTGAGACGACTCTTCAGTGCAGGTGCAAGTTCTCCTATGTTTGGCTGAATGAATTTGGCTTCATTAATGATGCTTGTTACTTCATCGAGACCTTCCTTTCGGATTTTCCAGTTTTTATCACCAATCTTAGAAACCAGTTCAGGTGTAATTTTATCACTGAAAAGAAGAATTAACATCTCATACTCTTGTTTCCTTTAAACAAGAAAGAAGCAACAAATGCCTTATAAATTAACATTTATTTATGTGATTTATAAACCACACCCAATCATCCCAACAAGACCATTATATAGAGAATACCAATCTATGAAATACATAATATATAAATAATTGCATGTCTGAATATTTTCCAGTATGCCAAATCCAAACAAACCTGATATCAGTTCTTGGCAAGAGATCCACAACATCATTTCCTAAATCCTCCTGTTCTTCTCCTTCCTCGCCATCATCGCCACTGCCAACAGCCTGTCTGGAATTGCCTCGAGTTGGAGCAGGTGGTGTTTGCCCTTGCATCTGAAATATATACGCATACCAGATGTGCACAGTTTGGGAGGCAAGTACCAACCATGGTTAGGTTGTTCAGCACTTTGGTTCATATATTTTCACATTGCTGTACGTTAACTGAAAATCATGCCACTTACAGTCAAAATGCAAGAATGGAAGAAATGTGTCAAATACTGGCTATAGCATAAGAAGGCAAGGTACCCTGTGTCTACACATCTGAAATTGATGCTTGCTCTGTATATTATCAACTGAGTGATCTAACTCTTTTTGCCAGACAAATGAAAAACCTAGCCTGAGTAAGACTGAACTAGCATGATTTAAAGCTATTCGCATTAGCAAACAGCATTTAAAACATTTTCATTCCAAACACTTGGACTGATCTGCTGAAGTGTTCTTCCAAAACATGGTTTTAACAAATTGTTCTACTATTAATATTAGTGAAATTATTAACTTGCTACTGTTCTGAAGCACAACAGAAGTGAACACCTGAAGAATAGTTTCAACAGTTTGAAAGAGGCTTACTTTTTCAAATTCGGCATCTATTTGGGAAAGAAGAGCAGGCTTCTCATCCTCAAAGAACATCCGCAAAGGGGCCCCCACATACAGATACATAACACCTAATAAAGTAATGGCAGATGTTCTCACAGCCTGTCAAATAGAAGAGAGAAAGGTTTATTTTCAACTATTCAGTCAGTATCGGAATCTTAGCTTGAAGAGACATTTACTTACAGGATTTGTAGCTGCAAGAGCAGTCTTAACATTGCTGATAAAAGCCTTTACATTCAGTCTGAGAGAGAAAACACACAGATTAGCTGAAATAGCATAACACTGCATACAGTAGCAAGACATGGGACAGCTGCAAGAATTTGCAGGAACGACTATGAAATTTAAATGAGGAGATATTCAATTTGATGGGACTGCCCTTTTATGAGATGAATAGGGCAGTCCCCCTATTTAAGGCAGTCTGAATACACACAGCACTGATCTAACTCTAGTCTGCATCTCACTGAGACCATCTGGGCTATGCTGGATTGAAGGCAGGAGCTAACATGGCTATTTTGTAAAGAAGACTATTCAAACAGAATTCCAAGGCCGCAGAAAGCTGATAAAACAAGGGGAAGGCTAATCTGGACCTTGCACCTACTCCCATATGAATGACCTTCTTTAAATTCTGTCCAGTTCTTTACAAGAAAAGTCTAGTTTTCTGCTCAAATAGTATTTATAACATTATATATTAGAGATGTGTAAAGAATCCATTTTGGGGGTGGATTCCCTGCGCTTGGCTCCCTGAACTCCAACATGCTTTCTTATGGCTACTGGTTCAAATTCCTCAAGAGTGCAATGAGCCAGGACCAAGCACAAATAGAAGTTCAACCAAAAGAAGAAAGCTGGTTTCCTTGCTGATGTAATCTCCCACACATGCAACAGGAATTGTTGTGGGAGTAGGGAAAACAGCATGCCAATAGATCCTGTGTTTTCTGCATTTATGTCTAAATCTAAATACCAGGCATTCCAGGTATGCATGAAAATTACTTTACTTTCATTCCTTCTTATACACACTGATCTCTACTACCACAGGAAAAAGAATTAGCTTTTTCAGCCCTGAAGGTAGAGAATAACGCCGGAGGCTAAGATCAGATTTACATGAACCAATGTATCAGATCAGTAAGAACAAAACATAACCTTAACAGAGTGCGAAGTAAAATGCTCTTTTCCTATTCTAGTCCATCATTACCTCACATTAACTTCTGAAAGTACTATAAACAGTAGATGTCAAGAGACTAAATACATATTATCTAGCTAGCTTATGGCTTACTACCAATAAATGCCAACTTTTTGAACAATCTTTTACTACTATGGGCTGCCTTTAATCCCCCTGGATTAACCAAAAATCAATCACTCATGATTACTTTCTCTGACCCATGAAAAGCTTCATTTAAATAACAGGAATTCAGACTTGAGAGCATCAGAGTGCCTAAATGGGAGGAGGGATGACAAAGAACCTCACAAAGGCTCTAGTTCACTTAGCTATGTATGTCATTTGAGGATACAAGCTAAATGTGCAAACCCTCAGCACCTTTCAGCCGTGTTTGAGGCAACCCAGGGGATGTCTGAGGTTCTTGATCTGTGAAGGATCTTCTGCACAAGTCACTTGGTATTAAAATCACAAAGTGACAAACATCCATTTATGAACAGAACAAGTCTTCTAAAATGCAGGTGTTTATTTCATTTTTTTCAAGGCTTACCCTGCAAACCCAAACTCTTTAATCGCATTTGAAAGCCAGTTCAAGGTTTCTGACTGGTTCTTTGGATTCTTCTGAGAAAAGGCCATGGACATAACCTAGAATGAAAATGAACGATTGAAGTTTATGACAGACCAGCAGGTAGGCCATATTACACTACACGCTAGCCTTGCCACAGACATGCAGCATACTTTCCATCACCAATCATTTAAACTGTATTTAAAAAGAGAATTGTACAAAATTAGAACACAAAATTAATCTAACACTGCAAGGAGAGATTGTGCCCTATCAAATTACTGCTTTTAAAATGGCATCTAAAACTCATTCAGTCATAAGGGTATAAAACTGATAATCTACGAGTGATCTTTGTAGATACATCTTAATTGCTTTGATTCCACTGGAAGTATTTCACATACCTGTTCAGCAGTCCAAGGCAGCTGACAGGCTTCTGCTATAGCTGTTAGTGCTTCTTTTGCATTATTCCCACATTTCACATCACCAATCTTATCCACAAGACCATCCAGCACAATCTGTGCAGAGGTTTTGGAGAAGGTTCCCTTCTGAGCAACCAAAGCTACTATATGAAGTTTTATCTGCATCACCTACAAAAGGGAAGTACAATCACATTAGCAATAAGTTTATGACCTGCTATAGTCTCCTAATAAAACAAACCATGACTTAAAAGAGGCTTAAGAATATAGCTAATGAATCTGCTCTGGCATTCCCTTGTAGTTACTGAGACACATTCCCAGGTCTGAGATGGATATAAAGAGCTCTCAGCGATTTTCTTCATGTGCATATTGGAATGCTTTACCATAAATATAATTTTCATTTTACAATCTTGGAGTTCATGGAAAGGTCGCATCTTCATTTATAGAAGAGACAACTAACTACTAATATAACAGTGTATCTTGCTTTACGTTAACATTATTGGCCTACGATCTTTATGCTAGATGTAGCAAAGAAAAGCTGTTTTGAGCATAGATGAAAGTGTGCTTCCACAGAGGATGCGGTAATAAATAAGTTAGCAAGATTGTTGCACGAAACATTCACAATTCATAGATCCAAAGACAGTCAACCTTCTGTTTTGATTTTTTTAACTGGGTTTTAAGTTATAAGATTTAGAGTACTGCTTTTTCTAGGGTTTGTTCTATTAACGTAACAATGAACTGTTCTTTTACCTGAAAGTTGGTCTCCTTCCATCCAGGTTTCTTTGCCAACATCCTTACTAGAGCCTGGCAAGGCATTTCAGTTCTATTCATCAGCTCAACAGCCTTAAGGTTTAAAAGAAGACTATTAACTCCAGAAAAATTCAAACCAACCATCAGGACCATAAATACAGCTGAACTTTATTCTACAGCACAGTACCAACTGCTTATGTTTTCATGTCATACCAAGGATGCTACTGAGAACCTACGGTCTCCATCAAGAAATTATCAAGCTGAATTTTCACTTTAAAAGTCCTGTTCATTCTGGTATACCTCTGGAACCAATGGCCAGCACAACAGGAAGCTAGTGCTTCTTAAAGTAACCCTGGAAACAAACCAAAATGTTCATTTCTGAAAGGGACAGGTCAGTGGACGTTTTACCTTGTTCAGGAAACAAACAATTAAACTTGTTTCAAGTTAATTTAGGACCCATTAAGTTCTATTGCTGATACTGCTGGCCCCACAGGCATATGGGCACCACTGGATATTTCTCCTAGTTTTCCAAATAAAGGATCTGCTTTTGATTTTTGAGTTCCAGTTAAGCTTAGGGTTACCTCTACCCTCACCCCTCACTAGTGTTATGTTAAAGAAAGGTAAAGGACTTTTAGATATAAGCACTAGACTCAACCCACCCTTTTTTCACAAAATGCCTCAGATCCTATGTTCTTACAAAGTCATGGAGAGAGGCTAGTGGCAAAAGTTTTGCTTTGAACAGCCCCAGCTGCCTAGATAAAGAGAGGAAAAACATTTTCAGGAGGGCTGGAGGCAACCCAATGGAATTGCAGGAAGTATGGAGACTCAGGCTCAGAGAATGAGCAAGGGCTTTGTGTGAATGAGTGACTGTCTTCTGTGTGACTGAACACATTAACTATTGTTTCAGCAGCAGCTAGAATATTACACAATGTTTTGCAGTTTGATTCAAGGAAGACTTCTTGGTTTGTTTACCAGGACACATAAAGAGGCAGCACGTACAGATAAAAGATCTGTTCATAACTCAGCTTAAATGCAGCCACTGACTCTTTTAAGAGCAATTGTTACATTTTATATAACTAAGCCTAGCTTTAGCATATCACTGTTTGGTATGTGCCACATCAAACTCAACATGGTAGTCTTGAGTTTTTATACTGCACTTTGGATACCAGCTGATCCAGATCTAATTCTGTTTTAGGTACTAAAGGATATGCCATTCAGTTATCCTAGCACTGGCTGAGTTCTCCACCACCAACATCCCCACTATTATCTCCAATGTGTGAATGGAGATAGCACCAGAGAATTGTGTAGGACCTGGAGGCCAAGCCCCATCCCCAAGACAACAGAATGAGGAACCTCTAAATATTGTATTATGTCCCAAACTAGAGGTTCCCTACTCTTTTCCAAAAGCCTACATGGGCACTCCCTGGCCCAGTCTTAAGAGTAAAGACAATATTAGCATGTTTACAAACTAACAGTTTTCAAAATGATCCAGGCAAAGGTAGAGGGAAACAGGGAAATGTGTGTCTCTTCATTAGTGATATCAAAAGACTAGCTAATGGAATGTGTTTGAGAAGGAGTGTGAAAATGACAGGATGTTCAAAGAAATGGAAAATGCGTTGCTTAGATGCTGTAGTTTAAAAGATATCTGAATGTTCCATAGCAAGTGTTTTGTCTATTGAAAAGTACAAAAACAACAACAATAAAAGTCTGGGTGTGTTACTAAAAGAGTAATATGGAAGGCTATAGCTTCAAGCTTTTTGTTCCATACCAAATTCTAAAAGTATATGCTGATATAATTACCTTTTGAAATTCTTCCATGCAAGCAAGCCTTTCCTTCCAGTTGCCACTATCTAGTTGCTGTATGCAAGTAGGTGGGAGGACAGCTGATGCTTTCTCTTCACACATCTCTATCTATTAGCAGAAAGGAGGAAAAAGAATGCTTCTTTTGATAGTATATTCTTGTACTGCAAGCACATTTTGATTGTGGTATTTAGTATCATGTGATGAGAAAAATCATAAATGCATCTGAATTAAAAGGACAACTATGCCTTGAGTATGCGTGTGTGAGGTGTAACAGTGTTCAATACTATAATACACAAAAATCATGGTGCATTTCTTGGAGTTAAGAATTCCCTCAAGTTTGCACCTTGCCAAACTGCTATAAAATGTCTCACACTTTCCCTTTTACTGTGGCCAAGAACAACCATAAAAAGTCACATTCATAGCAGGCAAAGACACAAACTGCAAGAATACTAAACTTGTCTTCACAAGTTCTCTAGTATCTCACCTCCCATAAAAGGTGAACATTTACTACATTTTTACAAAAATACTGCTACTGGACCCAAACAATTCTATTTTGAAACTCAACACACAAATCCCACGGTAGCATTCCCTGATCCATGCACATCCTCTGCTTCCCCCATGCTTATATGCCAGATGCCACAATGGATTTCAGTTGGTCTTCAAAAGTAACTTAAAGCAGCACACAGGCAAGAGCCCACTGAAACAGAAATGCTGACCATACTAATTTTGGCTTCATTTGATTAGAAATACCATTCATGCCACATTGAATGACTCTTCATTGTCATGCCAGTTGTTTTAAACATAACTGTATATCAAATGATTGATCATCACTGTCTTCAATGAGAACTAGATGAAAAGGTGTTTTTCTTTAAAGTACAGGTTATTGCACTGATTTTCCCACACAAAATGAAGTACATACTGAGAGCTCTGGCTCGAATATCTCCTTTATTTCAGCTGCTTTTTTGCCCTTTGTTGCAGCACTTCCTGCTGTACCAGCTGCAGCTTGTTTGCCCTTCTTAGATGGGCCACCAGCCTAAGTGGAAAGAGGATACAAGAGTACACTGCATATGATTTTTTAAAAACCATTCTTTGGATAGAAAAAAAGAAAGGGGAGAAAGACAATCTGTCATAGTCAGAGAAATGCCAGCTGAAGGAAACGGGAGCTTCAGACATACAGGTGCCTTCCACTCAATTTCTGGCATCCTTGTCCCCAAGCCATTACTCATCCTGTTCACCATGCTTTCTTGACCCTAGATGAGTCTTTTCGGAGGGCTCTTAGGAGAAGGTTAGGCAGGAAAGTTATCTTCTCTGCACCCCCTTTCTGCTGGCATTTTTCTGAAGCCAAACCATGCTAATTTTCAAGACTGCCTTTACCAGACAGTCATCTACACGGCTAATGATTATCACATTATTATAGCTTCAGCATTAAGAATATTTGATTCTTATATGGTCTATTATGAACTTCCAGCTTTCCAAAATATAGCAGACAAGAGGAGAGACAGGACTTGGCAAAAATAATGTACAATGTAGCTGCTCCAAACAGTGATGCCTTAGGAAGAAGATATCACAGAAGACAGGGAGCCAGTAAATGAGAATGTATCCTAGAATGCTTTTATTAAATGTTGGTGCAAGAGTGAACTTCAGCTTAAGAAATACAGTAGAAGGCCCAGGTCACATGTGCCTTCATAACTGACTCGGGCACTATGAAGTTTTCTCCTAAGGGATACCTTCACGAAGATTTATAAATTTCAACTGATATAAAACACAGTGCCAACAGTTATACTGGAACTTTAAAATTTTTGGAGGGTTCTGTCATTATGATAACTTCACTGTTTGCTAGTCTGTTACTGGTGGCAATTCAAAGTTCTGGTTGCTACTTTTAAAACCTAAAACTTCTTCAGAAAAGAATGGGTAATATGTCGTCTGCTGCAATATGATTCTGCCCATCCACTGAAGCTGGGGAGTTGCCTTTTTCACATTTCACTACCACTTGAGATGCAGTTGACTGGAACTTGTGAAAAAGCCTTTTCTGTTGTGATGCCCAGGATGGGAAAACTCCCTACCTCACACATGCATAAACATTTTAACTGACTTAAATTTTGCTTCTATTTATATAATTTATATGTTAGGACACTCAGAATGTTTTACAAGAGTTGAAAATGTGGGATCCAAGTTTTAAACAATTAAAAAGCAAATATGGGAATCCTGACTTCATTTCAGGTGTGTATTGTATTTAGGGCACAGGATCCAATTTGGTAGTTCTCTGGCACAACCATTAACTCTTGAATAAAAGCAAGCAGCCACTGAATCACTTCTGAAAGATTTGTGAAAATGCAATTAGTTCATTATATTAATGCAGGACCATTAATATTTTAGACAAATTAGTTGTTCATACCTTAGCAGCTGGTGCCTTTTTCAATGGACCAGCTTTGGCCAGGTTATCTTTTGTATCTTTGTCCCCTGCAGCCCCTGATAGAGCTGGAGCTTTTCCAGCAGCAGGTTTGTTCTCTTTTCTGTCAGTTCCTCCACTAACCCGACCAGCACCAGCAGGCTCCACTTTTTCAGCACATTCTTTAATCTAGCAGACAGAATAAGGATACCATGAACATTAAGGTAAACCTTCACTGTGTAATTCTTAACACTCTCTAATAGCTAGAACCCTGTAAAATATTTTTAAAGTGTTAAAGGCTTTGTTACTGCAAAAATACAATTTATTTAATACATGCACTATGTAGTTTCACAGAACCTAATCTTATATCAAGTTCACACAAAGCTGCTGGAAACTCAAGCGCCAACTGGCTGGGCTGATGAGAGTTGTAGAATTACTTTAATATATTCTACCTTTCCCACTGCTGCTGTATTTAAACAGTGCCAGCGTGATGTAGTGTGACTTACCCGGTCAAGTTTCAGTTTGTCCACATCTGCTAGGAAAGGGTTCACAGCTTTCTCACCTGCCACCTTCAGGGCAGTTCCCAGGGCTTCAAATGCAGCATCTCTAACTTCCGGAGCTGAATCATTAATATGCTGTTGGCAAAGAAAAGGAATGAATATTCAGCCAACTAGGTTTCTAGTTCATCCTTAATACAAAGTTCTTTTCCAAAGGCATTTAAGCACTTAGTATTCAAGTAAAACTATTTTGGTTCTTAAAATTTAACTGAATTGCTGGATTTTGTATAAACACAGCACAAACAGTGAACACAGACAGTTAAACGAGTAAGATCTTTGTGTTTTAATTAAAAAATCCTGAACATATAAATATTAAGGGAATTAAGGCTTATTTTTAGAAAGATTTTTTCAAGTATCAGGATAAATGATTGAGCAACTTATCAATGAATCTAGCTGACAGCATGACAAAAAATAGTTCAGAGCTTGAGATCTATAGAAAGCTTTGTGGGTTTGAAGCAAGCAGGGATGAAACAGAAATTGCTTCCTACTGAAGAGGATGAATCATTTGTACAGCCCTCTCTATAAAGCAAGTGGAAGTGGATAACCCACTCCTGGGTAATCTTCACCACTGACAAAAAATGAAGATATGGTAGCAGCATTTATTTTATTGTGACTGCAGATATTGGAGTAAGATACTGTTGCTATTTTTGGAGAGGGAAATGGGGGAAATTCTTTGAAGAAGAAATGCAGTATCGGCATGTTACTTGAAAACATACTGATATTTTCTCACCTCCAAGTGACACCCTACGTTCCAGAAACAGGCCTGGCTCAGAAAAACTATCTTTTTGAACCAATATCAGAGTATGCCAAACATAAAAATATAGTCAGAGTTTCCAGCCAGGTTACCTGGGCTCTTCCTTATGCAGGCACTAAATGCAGCCCTATCACCTAATTTCCTGTCTGCAGCTTCCAGAGGCAAGGAAAACTGCTTGTTACTTTTTTAGCTGGCTGAAACATAATTTCTCAGCACATTTCATCATTTTGCTGCAGTTTAGCACAAAGATTACTTGTGGGTATACCTTCCCACTTGCTACTTCCATCCTGACCCAGGTTTTTACAACATTATTTCAAGTGCAGACTTTAACTGCAGAACTTGTTTTACCTTGAGAAGAGCAGCACAGAAAGGTTTCAGCAGGCTCTTGGGAAGGGTAGAAGGCGTGCAATGGCGAAAACTTCTTGCAATGAAAAGTGATGTCTGTTGCTTGATTGTTGGGTTTTTGTTATCCATCACAGCCAATATATCCTCACTAAGATTTTGCAATGTGGTCTAAAATGGTGAGATAAGAGAGTTTACTTTTAGCCATCTATTTGTTTCATTTTAATACTGCCCAATAGCTGAAGTTCTCTGGGCAATTAAGTTAAAATTAAACAAACGTTAAAATTGCACATACAAATTATCTTAAAAGAAAAAAACCATATTAGCAATTACTATGATTCAGCAAAGAAGCACAGTACCAGCACAGAATAAAGCAGTTTAAAAGTTAATTAAAATAATGGGAAAATTTAAAAAGTTTTCCCCAAAGTAGACACCAGGTGCACCTCTTTAAGGAGCTCATTCCAAAACTAGGGTGACCCAAATGAAAAGGCCCTCCTCCAGCCACCCACCCACCTCACTTCGTTTGGAAAGGACTCCTAGAGAAGAACCCCTGAAAATGACCTCAGGGTCTGTGTAGGTACATATGGGAAGAGGTGATCCTTCAGAGAACCTGGCCCCAAGCTGTTTAGGGCTCTGAATGTTAGCACTAACACTTTGACTCCGACCTGGACTCCAGCTGGCAGTCAGTATAGCTGGAAGAAGACTGGTGCAATGTGTTCATGCAAGCCAGTCCCCTTTAACAGCCCAGCTGTCCTGTTTTGGATCAGTTGAAGTTTCTGGACCATTTCAAAGGCAGCCCCACACACAGTGCATTGCAGTAATCCAAACAAGAGGTTACCAGAGCATGATTAGGTTCTCTCTGTCCAGATAAGGTCATATTTGGTATATCAGCTTAAGCTGATAAAAGGTGTTCCATGCCACAGAGTCCACTTGTGCCTCAAGTGACAACTCTGGGTTCAGAAGTACCCCCAAACTATGAACACTGCCTTTTAGGGGGAGTGCAGACCTATCCAGAAGAGGTTGAATATCATCCAACTGGATAGATGAACCACCCAATAACACTTCCATCTCTTCTGGATGAGTCTTAGTTTGCTGGTCCTCATCCAACCCTTTACCATGCTCAGACACTGATTCGCAGCAGCCACTACCTCACCTGCCTTTGAGGAAAGAGAGATACAGCTGGGTGTCATCTGCATATTGGTGGTACCTCAGCACAATATCTGTGGACAACCTCCCCCAGTGATTTAATATAGTTTCATGTAGATGACAAATAGCACAGGGGATAAAAGAGAATCCTGCAGTACCCCCTGGCATAACTGCATAGCACAGAGCAATAATCCCCCTAGCACTACCTTCTGGAATTGGCTGGTCAAGTAGGAGCAGAACCACCGCAATGCAGTGTCTCATACTCCTAGCCCAGCCAACCTATCCAGAAGGATACCATTGTTGATGGTATCAAAAGCTGCTGAGAAGTCCAGGAGAATCAAGAGGGTCGTACTACCCCATCTTTTTCCTGGTAAAGGTCATCACACGGGGCAACCAAGGCAGTCTGCCAGTATTGCTTAGAATATTGATTGCTATGGACTTACAGTGAGGAAGATTGCATCAATGGCTTCTTGCAAGGCTTGTACCACCTGAGGCTTTTTCTCCTTGAACTTCTCTAAGATAGTTGGGACAACCTATAAGATATTACAGAAGTGTTAAGTTTTGGACTGCTTGATTTATTTTTGTACACTACACTCTCCCACAGCATAACAAGAAAAAGAGACATCTGTCCTATATACAGGAAAGGAAACTGTTTAAATCTTATATTTTGCTATATCAAGGAACACTGAAACAAAGCAGCTGCAGTCTAGACAGGACAACCCTCTAAAAAGGGCAGATTTTAGATGTGGTCCTTTAGTCTTCACTGAAAAAACATTCTCCGTTTGTTTACTCTAATCAAGAGAAGATTAAAGCAAAGGAACAAAAAGACCAAAGAGGAAGAAAGCCCTCCACAAGACCCTTTTTCCCTATGTCTCCAGAGGATGACGCATCCCAGCAGAAACTAGAAACAGCAGAAACTAGAAAAAGTGCTAAGCCCTAGCAGACTCTTCCTCATAAACTTTATTTTATGCAGTCATTTGCAGGATGCATAGTACCCGCATTACTTACATGGCCTGCATATTGTCCAAATTTCTTCCTGAGACCAGTAGCTAGTCCAGCAAGGCATTTGGCAGCCAAAGCAACCAACATCACATTGGTGTCCTTTCCAACAACCTGTAAGGAAAAAGGAACATTACAGTCCAATAATATACAGACTAACTACAGACAGCCTCAAATTGATAGTTCAAGCTAGCTCAAACTAAAATAATCTGTGTTTTCTCACTACTTCACCCAATCTCATGCTGCATTACCTATATAAAGAGCACTTCCACAAATTAAATTTTCAGACTGTGTGGATGCTGAGCTATTGACACCTGGATGACAATGCTGTCTCTTACACCCCCTCACTCTGTGCGTGTGTGTGCGTGTGTGTAAAAGACACAAATACTTATTAATCTATTTCCATGCAGGCAGTAAAGATTTGTTTCATTAACTAACCAAGTCAATGAATAAACATAATCCATAATCACACTCCATGTTTACCAATAAGAGCCCCAAACCATCTTTAAGTATATTAATACTGAGGCCTTGCAAGGTCCATTTGGGCAACATAGATTCTTGCCTTCTTAAGAACTTTCACCAAGTCTGCATAGTCTCCCGCTTCCAGTTTGGGATTTTTAACAAGCACTTCCACTGCTTCCAAAGCTTCTTTCCTCTCCTGCCATTTTTTGGCCTCCTGCAATACAAACCATTTATATCAATATCCAGATAGATAGATAGATAGATAGATAGATAGATAGATAGATAGATAGATACACACACCAAAACCTTTTGGTCAATTTTCTTTAAGATAAACTATTTTCAGGTGGAGTTGACCTTACAGACATGCTTTCTGCATCTACAGCATAATTCTTCTACATAATGAATAAGACTTTTAACACCACAACCAAAGTTAGAGCTATATATGCACTGTTACTAAATACAGGCATCCAATGTTTTGAACACACAGCCTGCTTTATGTCTGCAAATACGCACTGCCAAGGAAGTGACACTTTGGTCATGTTCCATGATCTATGTATACAAGAGGGAAAGGCATCCTCATGGCTTATACAAACCCAAGAAGAATGAAGCACTCTAATTATTTTGAGTCATAGTTATACACTTGTCAATTATACAATACAAGAGCTCCCACCAGATGCTTGTATGTCCTTGCACTTGAAGTCATTTGAGAGTCAGAGAACTAAGTAATTAAACTATTTTGAAGATTCCTATAGTACACATGGAATAAGACAGCCACTTGTGCAAGGAAACTGGGCATATAAATTTACCAACTAAGGTACAAAGAAAGATCAAAAAGAACCAATGGTATCTGTATTAGCACTTACTATTTTGTCATAAAAATCTTTAGGAAGCTTGGAGAGAATTTCAACAGCTTCCAGAAGTTCGTAAGCATCCACCTGTGCAACAGCCTCATCTCCATCATCTCCTCCTGCAAAAAGAGCTATTAGTAGAAACTATCAAACATATTTTCTGGACAGTTTAATCTGACTTGAGTCAGCAAAGTTACCTCCATCTGCATCCCCACCAGCTGCCTGTTGCTGCTCAAACTTTGCTTTCATTTCTTGCTGGGAGCGAAGGAACCTGGTCTGCTTGGGAGCAGATGATGGCAGTTTTACCCATTCTTCTTCTAGTTCTTTTAACTGTATGGATTGAAAAAGCTATTAAATTATAAACTCATGTGTAATGCTATGCTACTGACCTGGAGACATTGCTGTTTGCCCCTGTCACCAGTAACATTTTTCCTTCCGTCTATAAAATGTAAGTACGCTTAAAATCCTATGTGATCTACTAAAAGAGAACTAGGGGTGGAAGATCATCAACATATTGCCATAATCACTGGTTTAGCTTAATTACTTTGTCAAATTACATTCAGTGAATATTAAAAGGACATAGGACACTTAAAGCCTCCACTAAAAAAAGTCTGGGTCCAGACAGTATCAAAAACCTATACTCAAAACTTCCAAGGGGGCCTGGCATTGTTAGTTCAATACATGACTGTTGTTGACAGCCATGGTTTGCTAACCACAAACAACCAAAGAATAAAAATAATGGTTGTTGGGCTATGAAGTTGCATATTCTTAGTAATTAACAAACCATGGTCTGTTAATACAGCTGGGCTTAGGCAACAAGATAACCCACATTTCAGTAACATCCTATGGTTCAAGAACTCACATTCAATGCATGTTCAACCTATATTCAATCTCTTGTGTGTGAGTTATTGTGTTGTCTGAACCCAGTCAGTGGTAACAGTTTAAAGATAATTTCCTTTGTCTTATGACATATCACCATGTATAAGGCAAAATATTATTTGATAGCACTGTCCATTTTGGAGCAGTACTTAATTACCAGCTTGAGAAAAAAATATATTATACAACTACTATGACTTCAGCTGTATGTTTGAATTATACATAGAATAATTTGAAGACTGGGATTAAGAAATTCAAAAACACATGCACCAAAACTTTATTTTCCTAACATTTTCTAATAGAAAGCATTCATTACAAACACATTCATTCAAGCAGGGGTTGGTTTAATTTTCAGCCTTGCTTCCCACAGAACCTTGTCCTTATTTGCTAGGATCACCTTTCCATATTTGCTAACAAAGCTTTTATTTACAAATCAGTCTTTCACTAAAAAAGGGGGCCCAATAAAAGCACAAATGCACCACTAAAGTACAAAAGCATTCTTTCTTCCTGCTGCTTTTTGAAACCTCTCCACAATCAGCATAAGAGTTCTACTTTGAATAGGTGGCTAATGGGTTACACTGAATTGCTGAAGGCAGCAAGACATCTATTGCTTTCCATAACTTGGCATTTGACCTTGAAATTAACTTAGTATAAATAACTGAACACAATGCCAATAGTTGCTGACATGACTGGTTACCCAAAAAATTCTCTTCCCACAGCATGCACTATTTATATCATGCCTGAAATTGTCCATGCTGGCATAATTTACATTAGTGGCACCATTGCTCTGGATACTGCTCTAACAAAATGTATCATGCTTTGTTGACTGACCTCTTCTTGCTGAACTTACCTGAAGAGAGTTTATATTCTGTAAAGGAGGCCTGAGAGCATCTCTTATCCATCGATAAATTTCAACAGCAAGAAGTTTGGCTTCATCTCGAACAGCCTTCTCTCGAGACTCAAAGAGTTTTGGCAACACTTTGATTATTGGCTTAAGTGAGATTATTTTTGAACCAAATTCACTGAAATGAAAGATAGTTATAATATTGTCAGAAATCTACATTGTAGACTAGCACCTTCTGGCAGATATATACTCAGCATACTTTTGAATATTCACCTAGTTTGCACATCATGCTGAACCACAATGGGCTGATCTTAGGAGAGTAGTAAGAAGTCCAAATTCAGAGCAGTTTTTCTTGTCATGGGCTGCTAGGTTTTGTTTTGTGCTAACTAGCCACCTTGAGAACCCATAGCTTGCACTAGGGTTGTTTAGAGTAGCTTGCTCTGAGGGTGGCTTATTGTGACCTGTTGAACCTGACAGGACCATTTTATTGTTGACTGTCAGGATCAACTAGGCTGCTATTCAGTAAGAGTGCTGAAAATGCCTGCTACATCCCACAATCTTGTTAGTAACAGCACTGCTTTCTTTCATCCCTTCTCAGTGCCTTCTGCCTCAGGATGGATTTTTAATGCATTTTAATAGAAACCTTGAAGAAAGGCTACAGGAAAATACCCTGAACACATTTACAATTTAAAAAAAAAAAACGGTTCTGGTAAGTGCTCGGCAGTAAGTATCCACTGCTAGGAATTCTAATTTCTCCCTAGTTTTACAGCTCTGCCTTGAAATTTGCATATTTACACTGATTCACCTTAATTTTCTGCCTTAAAATGTGCATGTTTACCCATTCAGTCCCCTTGCTGTCTTGAAATGCATGTACATTTAGCGATCCCACTCACTGCTCCATAACTCATATGTAAATGTGACAGCTAATAACAAAGCAGCAGAGGGAAATAACAGGCACAAAGAGAGGGAGATGGAGCCAAATACATCTAACAGCTGCCGATGAGGAGCTTAGGGACAAGCTATTACTGTAGCAGTTATGTGAAGCAGCATTTACGCAGAGAGTTTCCTAACATGCAGATGCTCAAGCAGAAGATTAAATTGATGAACTTGATAAGGACACTGGCCAAAGGAGGCTACTATTATGCTCTAGGAAAGGTGGTTGGGCCAGTGGTGGAGTTGCTTTATTTCCACAAAGTTAGAGGTAGCCACAACTATGAGCCCATGCAATCCTATTGCAACCACTGTTTATGTTACTTTCCTGAAAACTCATCTCATGCTGGTCAAAGTTTATATTCCCCCCCAAACCCCCCCACCCCTCTAGTAACTGCTAATTATACTGAACCTCTTGAACCATCAGATCCTGACACAGTCTTTATTATTGCTGGAGAGTGCAATGCTCGCATGGGCGTTGATGATGTGAGCTTGTACAACTATTATGAAAAGATTCTGGAATCAGATGTTTACCCATATTGTGGTTTCCCTCAATATTCCAAGAATATTAGATATAATTACGCATGGTTCCACTTAGTCTACATTGTAAGAAGGGGAGATTTTATTTTGTTATTTAGGGAATAGTTATGCTGAACCATTTCTATGTAAAACCTTTTAATTTTATTAAAACTTCAATAAAATTTGACTATATCACTGATAACAAGATTGGACATAAACTACCAAAGGAGGATATTATTTTGCTGAAAACTTAACACATGAGAAATGGTCTAGTGCAGTATTCTGTTCATACAATGGCCAATCAGCTGCCCACATGAAGCCCACAAGCAGGACATGAATGAAACAGTATTGTTCTGTTCATATTCCCGGCTTCCAGTGACATAGCCACTGAATGTGTCAGTCCCTTGTAATACCATCCAAACCAGTAGCCATCACTACATCTTGTAATAGGGAAGTCCATATTTTAATAATGCATTCCGTCAAATATTTCCCCTTTTTTGTGTGCAGAATTTTCCACCAATCAGCTTCATGGGATGCCAATTCTACTAGCTAATTCTTCAGGTTCTACTAATTTGAAGGAGGAAAAATCATGTTTCTTTTCCTACTTTCTCCACCCCATGCATCATTGTGCATACCTCTATCATGGCTCCCCTTATGCACCTTGTTTCTAAGCCAAGCGGTTACAATAGTCCCAGACTCAGCATGTAATTGGTAGTGTTCAGTTTAGAATTTGCCTTTTTTTTCCACAGCATCTGCACACTGAACAGACATTTTCATCACCACAATCCCAAAATCTCTTTCTTGGTGAGTAGCACTGCTAGCTCAAATCTATCAGTGTATACTTGACATGAGGATTTTTTGCCTTTAAACACAGCACTTTACACAGCTTACATTGAGTCCTATCTGCCATCTGGATGCTTACATTTGCCTGTTTTGAAGAGATCCCTTTGGAGCTTTTTGCAGTCCCTTTTTGTTCTGACTGCCCTAAATAATTTGGCATCATTAGCAAACCTGGACACCTCACTGCTCACTCTATTTTCAGAATATTATGAAAAACTTGAAAATTTTTGGTCCTAATAAAGTTCCCCGTGATATCCCACTACTTAAATCCCTCCACTAGAAGCATTTACCATTCATACTCTCAGCTTTCTATTCTATAACCAGTTGCTGATCCACAGGAGGACCCTCTTATTCCTTGACAGCAAATGTTACTCAGGAAGCCTTGACAAGATAGTCATAAGCCTTTTGCAAGTCCAAGCTGTAGTCATCTATCCAGTCACCAGTAACTGCTCATTAACCATGTCAACCTCCTGGTTCTTCCTTTCCTAACTAGGGGTTTGAGCAACTTCCAAGCATTTGGAAAGGTTTGACTTTGATTCCCCCTTTCAACTTCCTTTTTACCCATTCCTTAAATTTTCGAGAAGCTTCTTTTAAAGTCACATTTGACGCTGTTGAACTTTCATGGCAATTTTCCACTTGAATATAAATTTAATCTAATAGAACTATAGTCACTGTTTGCTCCTGGTTCAACAAAACTCAAATTTTCTACTAGGTCAGGAGCAACACCACTAGGCTTAAATCCAGGGTTGCCTCTTCTTTAGTTTATGATCAACTATTCTAGGGCACAGTCATTCGGGGCATCAAAGCATTTAACTTCTTTGTCACCACTGGTACATGCATGTATCAAGTCAACATGAAAGTAACTGAAACCACCTATTATTAAAACAACATTTTGTTTAGATGCCTCCAGAATCTCATTTTCCATCTCAAGATCACGATTAATCTTATCCTAGGGGCAATACCATGTTCCTAATGCTAAATTGCTTTTGGGGCCCAGTACTGTCACACACAGTGCTTCTGTGGAAGAGTACAATTTTAAGTTTTCTAGTCCGCTTGCCCCTGTGCCTTTTTGATAAATAGTGAAACACCACCTCCAGTACACACTTCTGTCCTTTGCAGAGAGCTTACAACCAGAGATTACTGTAGTGCAGGAACTCATTCCCATCTACCAGGTTTCCATATCTAGTTTCTCCTTTAAAAGCCAAACACTCAACTTTCCCATTTTGCTTTGGAGCCTCTCTTGACTTGTTACCACACTTCAACATATATTCCTGGCTTATTCCTTCTCTCTCCCTATTTGAGCAACTGGGAACATTTTCAGCTGCACCCCCTGGGAATCATTCAACCCAAACTGGATGCTTCATAGGCTCTGTAAGCTTTTTAAAGTTAAAGGCCAGTAGTCTTGTTCCATTTTGGTTCAAGCGAAGCCTGACTCTCTTCCACAAGCCCAGTTCATCCCAAATTGTTTCCCTATTCCTTTGTTCAGTACCTAAAAAATCAGAATCCCTCATGTCTACACCACAATCTCATACATGCACTGAGACTCTTCACCACATCTGTCTTACTGGCTCTGTGTTTCACAGAAAACTAACTTGATGGTCCTGGATTTCAACTTCCTATCTGGTAATGTAAATCTGGCCACCAAGGATAGGCTAGACATGCACATGGTGGGCATGCCGTGAGCAGAGCCGGCTGGAGCCAGGAGTCAGACTAGATGGCCCGGGAGGCCCTTTCTGACTCGTTCTGTTTCTATGAGTACACTTCTCCATGTCACAGATACCAAAATGGATATAACCATTAACTCTATCTGTTATCTAGATAGCACATGGAATCAGCAACCTCCACACCAGACAGGGAATTTGCCATCTCTTCAATATGTTCACCACAAGCCCAGCTACCTATGTGTTCAATGACTGAATCATCTACAGTCAAAAGCGCCCTACAGACACATCCTCAGCATGACAGTGTTTTCTTTTAATCTTTAGAAGAATGGATCCCTCTCCCTCAGAATGACTCCTTCTTTCACCAGGACTCCTGTTTTGTGACTACACAGCAGCTGCCTCCTAGAGATTGGGACACCACTATTACATCCTCAACGGCCTCATCCAGCAAAGTTTCTTCTTTTCTCTGCTTCTCCAGTTCAACTACCTTGGATTCTTTACACTGAATACATACCGTGATTTCTGTCCAGCTAGCAAATACATCCTATATGTGACATTCAGAGCAATACACTAGATAGCCCCTATATAATTACTGGCTTTCTACCTTTATAACTTTTTAAAATTAAGATTACTTTTTTCTGGAAAACCAGTTATTTTCTAGGAGAAATTGGGGCATTTAATAGTTTCTTCTGAACTTTGGATCCTGGCAAAAGTTTTATTTTACAGTTGGCTTTGGTTTGCCTTTAGCAGCTATTTTCATAATCTGAAATGCAGCAATACAATACACCCAGTCACAAAACAACTGTGCTACTGTCAGGAAGGTTTAAGGAAAACGGTTAAATTGTATCACTCTCCTCTGGGCAGTAGTGTAACCTACAGAACTCTTATCAGGGTAATAGCTTCATGTGTTTCTCTATTCAAGAAGTTATAATAATTTTACTGTACTTTCAAATATGTAAAAAAAGCAAGTTCTCTCAGTTACCACTGGTAATCACTTTTTTGTTTTTGGCCCGGTCTGAATGATGGTTACTTCAGATTATCTTACCTTAGTGCTCTCCTCAGTGTCTCTATACATGCTACAATGATCTTGGGATTCTTGTTGTCCAAGCCCTTAAGCAGCTCTTCTTGTACAATTTCTCCCTTCTCAATTTCAACAAACATAAGACATATGTCTATGCCTAGCTCCTTGGCTCTAGCTTTAGGCTGATTGAACACTTTATTCACAACGCCAGACACCACTTCTCCTGTTGTTCTTTAAAATAAAACAAAAAGAAGCAATGCTATTATTTTAGCTCACACCAAAATTAACAGTTCTATTCCCCAGGAGAATTACTTTTATTTTGGGGATGTGTGTGTATACACATGTATGACATACACAAACAGATTACTTCTCCTCCAATCACATTACAATAGTCATTCCTATTTGTTTTTTTTTTTTGCATTTAATGCTGCATTCTTACATACACTGATAATTGACTCAACTTATATTTAAGCATTCATTCTAATTACAATTACATTTCATGCATATTTATAATGGATATAAGAATTCTGAGGTATTTACCAATGACATATACCAATCCTGAGCAATATACAATCACCTCCATGAAAAATAGCATTCTCTTCCATTCAAAAACACATGTAAGCTGCCTTCAGTTCCTCGTAAGAGGAAAAAGTGGGATGTAAATGCAATGTAATAATAATTCTCACACATGAATCTGTGTCATTTTTCCTACACTAAAGCCTTAACTAAAGCTTAGTTACCTCCAAAAAGATCTCACACATCTTGAGTTATTTTGGAAGTTCAGTTTAACAGAGCCCATTATACAAATCATTGCTCAGGGTAATGAACAAATGATAAAGCTGAATGTGCTCTAAGGCAATCCACAAGCCCCTTGCTGTTGAACAAATTTACCATCTCCTGATGTATTTTGTCCCCCCTCCTAAACACAGACATTTAAGTATGAGTAAAATATTTTCTACCTATGCCCTTATTTTAATGCAAAGTAAAAATTTAACAAAATTAATATACTACCAAAAAATCTGAAGTAACAGGTAAACAAGTTGATCAGGATTGTTGTTAGCCACTACAAGTTTATATACAAATAAGTATATCAAACTGATTAATTAAGGAATCAATTGAAGAAACCACCACCCCCACATTACTGATTTGATACCTTGGTTTTATTGTATTTAGTTTATGCAAATTTAGCCACTGAAATCAATCCCAATTTTTGCAAATGGTAATTCTTTTAATATTTACATCTGTCTGCAGGCAGAAGCAGCACTGCAATCACAACCAGACTACAAAGAAAATATTTAACTTTGATCACAACCCAGCATACTGCAGCTGTAGCACTACCCAGACAACTCCCACACAATCTTGCTCCTTCAACTACACATGCAAAAAACTTTCAGACTGTGCCTAGTGCTGGGTATCTCCATCCAGCATTCCCTCTACTCAGCACAAGTAATATGGAATCTAAGTGAGACTTAGAAAAAACAAGACTTGATTAAGCCTCGAAATAATAGGCATGTGGGTATATTTGTCTATAATTTCTAGTCAATTTCAGGAAGAAAGCAATGATCACAATCACCTTTTCAGCAGCTACTTATTTGAGAGCTTAACTGTGATGCAAACAGTTGCTTTTCTGACTATCAATTACACTTAAGTATGTTCTTATGAGGATGCTATATCAGAATACCTTTCAGAAGGTAAGAAAAAATAGTTTGAATTTAACAACATGGGGGAAAAAAACAGACCCTGCACTGGCTCTAGAACAAACAATATAGTATCTCAAAGTCAATGGATTAACAATAAAGCAGTCTGAAGCAGGATTTATTCTTAGGTTTCGGATACTGGCTTGTCAGAAACACAAGCCAAGGATTTCCATTTGGATGTTAATGGTAAAGAAACTGCAGATGAAGCTTCTTGTTGGCAGAAGCTGTCAAGTTGTGTGTGGCAGTGAGCCATGCTCATTGCAGGTAACCTAGAATTCCCAGAAACCCAGTTGCCCAGATCTTTCCAAATGTCTTAACTGAACAAGCCAGATTTTTTTTTTCATAACAATGAGTGTATAGATTTCATTTTAAATTTTTAGCCAATATTACATTTCTATACCACCAAGTTGCCAAAGCTATCTGGATAATTCACAACAATTAAACCATAAAAGCCAACAATCAAACCCATAATACACAAGGCTCTAGAAAAACTAATCAAAGCATAACCACAACGTAAGTATTAAACAACATTTAAAATATTATGTTCACCAAGGCTCTTGCAGTCCTCATTAAGAGATGTAAATCCTTGGAATAAGAAGATATATGTAAGGACTATGAGCAAGAATAGCAGCTTACAGGAACATTTCTCAAGTCTCAGGAAAAGATGAAAAACTTATAGTTAATACAATCTTTTTCTTCCAATGATACAAAGGTTGGTACAGCTTCCTAGAAGAATTGCACTGAAGTACAACAGCAAGTGACTTACTTTCCCGCTACATGAGCATTTTCAACATAGGCAAGTGCTGCTTCTAATCCCTTCAGTTGAGCTACTGCATTGGAGTCTGTCACAAATTTCTTTACAAGTCCAAGATACTTGGACCATTCAGGGCTCTTCTCATCCTCTATCTTCTGAAACAGCTTCAGAGCTTCTTCATATCCATTTAATCTGGCCTTCCACAACTAGAAAAATAGAAAGATACCAGTTAAAATTCTACTTAACTGAACAAAAATGTGACTTCTCAAGTGAGCAATTTTGGTTTGCTTTTTTCCTTGTTAGAACAGGTAAAGAATTAGTAGATAAAAGCAGTCTGTGAGGACCAGTTTTTCCAACACCTACTCATATATAAGCATAAACTGATGGTTTTCCTGCCTCTGCACTTGCACTGTTAAACATTTATTAGCTATGCCATAAGACAAAAAGTGAACAATGTAGTTATTTCTCTTCAGAATACATTTGAAAAGTAGTTCTGAAAATATTACTCAGTTATGGCTGGAGCTGCAACCATGGTTCAGACATTCATGTTAGTAATTAGGCTCATGTCTCATTTGAGACAAAGTACAGGAATACATGCAGTCCATTTTAAGCCATCAATAAACAAGTTTGGCAGCTCTATAATAAACACATTAAATATGTGACAGATCAAGGTAAGAATTCTGCTCCCCACCAAACCAGAAAATGTAAGGGCTCATCCAAAGGAAGGACCTGCTTATTTTGGAGGTTTTATATCCTAAATTTAGGGAACAAAAATAAATGTAACTGTAAGCTTTCCTCATTTCTGCCATTGACAAAACCCATAGATTTCCCTTTGAATGCTCAGCTTCTGCTCCAATATTGGGGAGAAAAAATATATTAAAACCAAAAATACATGTTTAAAGAAAAAATGAACTTAGGAGCTGACTCAGAGAAACTGAAAAGTGCCAAAATGTGCAGCTTTGCCTATTTATTTACTATGCTGATCAGCAGTCAAAGTTCTCTGTGTGGTTCACAACAGTGCATAAAATACACCATCTTAAACATCTTTAAAACTGATAGTACATTTAAAAAAAAATTCAAAATGGATTAAAAATATATAACAACTAGGACAAAATGATCATGGTGAGTACAGTGCAGAGATATCTAGGAACTTACAGAACAATTAGCTAAATTTCTGTTCAGGATTAGCTAGTGGAAAGATCATATTATAAGGGATAATGATCTCTGAGTCTCAGTAAAGGGCGGAAGTACTGGTGTGGATGAGCAGCCTGCAGAACTTTAAAGATTTGAGTATGATGCATAAAAACTACTGAACACCACAGTGACTTTGATATCAGACAGTTCTTGTTCAACATAATTTACACTGAAAGCACTCTGCAAAAGGTTAGAAGATTCAAACTTTTTTATTTTTCTGAAAGACTAGTGGCTATACTGAGGTAGCAGAGGAGTTCAAGCTACTTCCTATGCTTCTTTTTAGAAGATTCTCTATCAATTATCTCCACAACAGTCTATCAGGATAACCTTATGCTATGATACCCTTGAAAGGAATGATTGAGAGATAAACCTTGGAATGTGTGTCTACCTCCCATTGTCAAAGCTTTCACATACTACTATTCCTAAGGTGCTAATCTTGGTTGAATGTTAAAATCTATCCAACTGAGGGGTTCAACATGTATGCCTCTGCTCAGAACAACTTGTTAAGTACATCTGTGAAGACATGCCTGGTATATAATGGAACAGTATATAATGTTTACTGTGTGGCTTCTGAAAGACAATAATGTATCCAAACAACTTTGACACCTTGGGCTTTTTTATTGTCAAATGTCTGTGTAGCTTGCTGCTTAGTGAGGTTCTGAAGTGGAAGAGACACACAATCATTTTGAAAACTGTTAGACAGGATATGCAACAGGTAAATTCAATTCTGTTTGACTGGGGATTCTAGAAAGGTAGAAAAGAGCAACTGGGAAATGCGAGTTACAGTATGACACCTGGGAGTTAGTCTGTAGAGAGTAAGAGCCAAGGTCTCTTGGTTGGCATGTGGTATTTTAAAACGACTAAGAGAAAGCTGAGGAGAAAGTGGATAACTAAAGCTATTATTTCTTTGTGGGATAACCATATGTGCCTAATGAAAATCAGGATTAGGGAGCAGGTGGCTATGTTATGTCAGGAGGCTCATTAGAAGATTATATAAGTAGGTAGTAAAAACCCAGATAAACTATCCAAGCAGCAAGAGGAGCTTTGGTGTCAAAGGAAGATTTTACCCAAAAGTTGGACCTGACTGTAAGGACACTGGACTGGGGTGGAGACTTAAGGAATTTGGCCTGAAGTCAAGTCAGTCATTAGAGGCTTCTACCAGGTATTCTTGAGTCCTAAAGAGCCTTGTGAAAACCCCTATATATTAGTAATTCCTTATATAGAAAATTGATACAGTGGTACCCAGGTTCATGAACTTAATTCGTTCCACGATTCTGGTCGTGAACCAAATTGGTCACAAACGGAGTCAAATTTGCCCATAAGGTTCAGTGTAAATAAGGTTCAGTGTTTATCCGTTCTGAACCCTATGAACGTGGTCATGAACCGATTTTGGTCAAGAACCAAATCAAATTTTCCAATGAGGTTCAATGTAAATAAGGTTAATCCGTTCTATAAATATTTTTTTAATAACAAAAAATTGAAACAAAGTACAGTGCAGTATAGAGAGAACACTAACGGGGGGTGGGGGTTTGGAGGGAGTCCCCCTTTCAGGGGTTTCCTCTCTTCTTTGTCTCTTAGCTGTGGGGTCAATTTTGGCAAAAAAAGAAAAAACCTGTCTATAGTCACTTGTTTTTTCCTGTGCTGCATAACCCTCCAGAAATGAGAGACCATGTTCATAAGATTCAACACTCTGTTTGTTACAGTTATGTTGGGGTGGGGTGGTGCTTCTCAAAGAAATCCTGGCACTCATTCCATTTTTCCATAATGGAGTGTATCATATCACTGCTAACCTCCTCCCTTGTCTTCTTCTTCCTCAGTGGAATGCTCCTCAACAAGCGCCTTCTGCTGCTCATTCTGGAGTTCAGCAAGTTCTTCCATTGTCAGTTCCTCCTTATGGTCCTCAATAAGCTCCTCTATGTCTGTACCACTGATGTTCAGATGCATACTCTTGCCCATGGACACAACCTGTGCATCAGACCCTTCAAAGTCACATTCAGTTTAAGGTCCGGTACGTGACATCTTCCCAGGCTTTGTCAATGAGGTTGATGCAGTTGAGGACACTGAAATGTTTCTTCCAGAACTCTTTCAGAGTCAAGGATGTTTCTTCACTGACATTAAAACACCTGGTGAAGAGCGCCTTTGTGTACAGCTTTTTGAAGTTGCAGATCATTTGCTGGTCCATGGGCTGCAGAAGAGCTGTCATGTTGGGGGTGAGGAATTTGACCTTTATGAAGTCATACTCAGCATCCATATCATCCACCAAGACTGGAGGGTGTGCCGGGGCATTGTCCCTCAGAAGAAGGCACCTTTCAGGCAGTTGGCTGTCAGAAAGATATTTCTTAACGGTGGGTGCAAACGCCTCGTGCAGCCATTCCATTGGGTCTTGTGACCCAAGCCTTCACATTGGCCCTCCACATGACAGGCAGTCTGGCCTTGTTCATATACTGTTCCTTGAATGCACGAGGGGTCTGGGAATGGTGCACCAGTAGAGGCTTAATCTTCAGATCGACGCTTGCATCCACACACAGCAAAAGGGTCAATCTGTCCTTCATGGGCTTGTGCCCCGGCAGTGCCCTTTCCTCCTGCGTGATATAGGTTCTGTTCAGCATCTCCTTCCAGAGGAGCCCTGTTTCATCGCAGTTGAAACACTTGTTGAGCAACATATCCTTTCACCTTCATGAATTCCGCGGGTTCTTTCTTGCAGGCTTCTGCAACAGCCTTGTCAGAACTGGAAGCCTCACCATGTCTTATCACACTGTGGATGCCACTTTTCTTGGGGAATTTATCAAACCACCCTCTACTGGCTTTAAATTCAACACTTGTTGCACTTGTGCAGAGGGTGGTTTGTTTGTTTGTTTTTTGTTTGTTTGTTTGCTGTAATTCACTGTGCAATTTCCTGGGCTTTTTCACAGATCATAGCTTCACTAATGCCAGCTGTTTCTCATTCCACAACACTAACAAAAGTTCTTCAACCTCTTCCAGCACTTGTGTCCTCTGCTTGGTTAACATTGTTACTCCTTTTGCCACATCAGCTCCTTTGATGGCATCTTTATTCTTCAAAATAGTCGTGATTGTCGACTTCACCATCTTGTACTATGAGGCCAGATCAGTCACATGAATATCACGCTCATGCTTTTCTACAATGTCCTTCTTCAATTCAACGGTTATTTTCTTCAAAACCTTCTTCTTACCATTCTTGCTCTACACGTTCTTGTCACCTTCATTACCGCTCTGCACATTCTTTTTAACACCATGCTTGCTCTGCACTTTCTTTGGAGCCATGCAGGATTGAATAATACTGTACAGTACTGTATGTGCTAAAAAGCACACAAAAAAGCTTCATAGCAAGTGACCACAGGTCTGTCTGCGACCGCGAGTGGAGAAGATGGCCACTATCGTGATCATGTTTGTGCAAGAACATGGCTGTGATCACAGTTGTCACCTGATGCAGAGCTCGTGAATGGAGGCAAAATTTTGCTGAACTTTGTTTATGAACTGAGGTACCACTGTATTTTCAGTAGTTCACCTTGGTTCTAGTGTGGATGCTAAAGTTTCAAAAAATTCAATGAATCAGAAGTGCTTGTTTTGAGTGGAATAGATCCACACAAGAAGCTAATAGTGAGGAGGAAGGAGCAAGCAGCAAAAATAAAAGTGAACCCTTTTGAGCAGAATACTCCACAAGTCTTTCCATCTTTTTGTGTATAGCCTGAGGTTTATCATATTATTGTTTCCCTGGAAGAGAAAACCTATAAAGGCAGCAGGCTGTAAAAGAGACCCAGTCTGGGAATATTTTAATGAAGCTCTTCTACCTATGGGTAAGGCAGGCAAGCATGCAAATTATGCAGAAAACCATGATTTAATTCTAATCTTACTGACTAATGATTTAAATTCTGATTTAAATCAATTTGATTTAAATCCAATCCACACTGCTCCATAGGTAACAAAACTGAATCTGTAGCTTTTCCTCAAGGCATAAACAATGGATTGTGTTTTGTGGCAACAAATAAGGGCAGTCTCCCAACTAACCCTCATGTAACTAAAAGGAAAATTTACCTCAACACCCCCATTGCCAACAAAGAACTGATGGGACTGGTGGGGGGGGGCGGGGGATCAAATAGAAAAACAAATCACAGATCTAAAGTCTAACTTGGGAGTGGCTGAATAACCATGAAATGCAGACCCAGAATTTAGTCTTTTCTAAAGAACAGAAATGTGTTTTAGATTGGCCCCACCTTGCATAGAAGGTAGGTCTTTCTTGCCTCTGCTAAGACAACCAGGATTGCGCTCCTTTTAAAATAATGGTGCCTACTGGACTGACTACTGTTAAACCCATGCAAAGAAAGTTCTGATAATACCTCAGAAACCAATGGAGGCTTTAACATAGAAATCTTGGAAATGAATAGCTTATTTATGACTGGTGGGAAAACTGATTTTGGGAAAGCCCAAATCAGATCAACTGGAAGGACAGCCCAAGAGGTCTAGAAGCCTTAGAATGTGGAATGAGGACCTGAAAGAAGTGTCAAAGAAGCGGCTGTGCGGGTTATGTTGTAATACATATTGTTTCAAATGTTAAGTGTTGTAAGCTGCCCTGAGGGCCACAAATGAGGCAGAATAAAGAAGGGAAAATAAATAATAAATAGATACTTCTACATGGACAAGGAGAAATCACAGCTGGAGGCACAAGACAAGAGGCCTTCCTAGGAATGATCATGCATGGCTGGAAGAGGGTTTTTTTTTTCATATGATGTCTTATAACTCTGATAGTGTTTAGAAGTCTCTACCACATAGGCCTATCCTATGCAAGTGTAAATCATTCCTGTTTAAACATGACTAGCCAAGAAGGTAAGTGAAGCAAAGAGTTAAAAGTATTTGGGACAGAAAACAAGAGAGAAGTTTCTTTCTGCTGTAGCCTTTTGAAGAACCAGGGATATCCTGCATAGAGAGACAAATTTGCTTCTAGAATGAAACAAAGTCATCTACATATATTCAGGACTGCACCCAGGTGACAAAGAACTTGTGCTATCCTTCTATTGTCAGTAGACCAACGAACACAATTAACAGTCAAACCAGAGTAACCAAAAAGACAACAGGGTGGGGAACAACTTCGTTAAAATGACTTGTGTTTCACAACTTTCCTCTAAGTAGTGATGATAACAACAGTGCCTTCTTTCAATAAAGGCAGCAGCATTTAGCTAGAGAAGGAAAAGACAGTTCTTAGGATAAAGTTAATCTTACCTTGTGTTCACATTTCTGATCAATAGGTAATTTCATCCACTCACTATCGTCCCCCATGATGTCTCAGTTCTTGTTATTCTTCCCAGTAATTCCTAGGAAAAAAATAGAGAAAGACAAACTATTCATTTTCTGGAAAATGAAAGTTGACAGAATTGAATTTGTGGATAATTAGAGAATGAGTGAAGCTGCAGTACAAAGAAAAACACAAACCATAAAGTGAGAGCAGCAAATTTTAAGCATGGTTTAGTATATTCCATATATTCAGAGTCCAAATTCCATTCTTGAGATATATTTACATGCATACATTCTGCATGAAATACTTGTCTTATCATAGCATTCTGACTATCTTTGCTAAACAAATCTTTGCTGAAGAAAAAACAAGTACAACGAGCATGACAAAAAATGTGAATGGATACGGCTGTCACACAGCACTGAAAAAGCATGAAGTACAAGCAGTGTCAACTGAACCAGCCAAGTCACAATGTTGCAGAGCAAAATATAGGGTACTAAAAGGGGTATAGATTTTCCTTTAGCACGGGGTCCTCAAACTTTTTCACCAGGGGGCCAGTTGAAAGGTGCCGGTGCTGGGCGCGGGCTGGAAAGGTGGGGCTGGCGAGGCGCGTGGGCGGGTGAGGGGCATGCAGCGAGGCGAGGCGCAGGTGGGCGCACGCAGCAAGAGGAGGCAAGGTGGGGCGGGGGCGGGCACGCGCTGTGAGGCGGATGCACGAGGAGGCAGCTTGCTTGCTTTTGCTTGCTTGGAGATCATATTCTCTGAGTGAGCAAGCCGCTGCTTCCCTGTGCGTGGGGCGAGGTGGGTGGTGGCGGGTACGCACATGGGTGCAGGCGCATGCGTGGTAGGTCCAAATGGGCATGGCGGGCCAGATAAATGGGCATGTTGGGCTGGATCCGGCCCCCAGGCCGTAGTTTGAGGACCCATGCTTTAGCATTTGATCAATGCCAAGTACCCTCCCTTTTCTTAACTTGCATGTCAAGTCTACATTGCTACTTATGAAATGAGTCAAGTGTTACTACCACGGATGCATGACAGAGCTGCCACTCAATCCTGGGACGAATAATCAAACGTTTTTAAAAATTCATTCCAAACTATTTTCACAGCTGTCACTGCAGACTAGTAATTTTTATATATGGAAAAAGGTACAATTACATCCAAGTTGCAAATGAAAGTCTGCATTTGGCATCACATTATATAAAACAAATTAGCCAATTCCTAAGCCAGCTGTCCCCCACCCAGCTCCCGCTCCCCGGAAAGCTTTGACCAAAGCTTTGACTATCTGTCCGGACCAGGGGTGGAGCACCCTTTTAACCTGGGGCCAAATTGCAAAATGGAAAATTGGAGGGTATATTCTGTTTGAAAGATGAGCCAAAGGCTGACTGTGCAGAGCCAGATGTGATTATCATAATTTAAGTCCTACTCAGAAGCAAAAAGGACAAGGCTTCTACATGTTTATTCAGAAATAAGGAGGACTGGATTACTCTGCAGCACTTTCAAATAACACCCCAAATATCAAGTCTACACAGGTCTACTCACAAGGATATATCACATGCTGACAAAATGCATGCCTTAAGTTCTTTTCAACAGGTCTCCTGTCAACAAATTCAACAGTTCAAAACCTTTGCAGCCTCTTGACACTTGCAAGGTATTTAAAGGTTAATTGGCTTCAAAACTCAATAGCATAAAAAGCTGGGAGGCTGGGTGGGGAACTCCTGGAGGCCACATTTGGCCAAAAGCTAGAGGCTCCTCATTCCTGCTTTGGTCAGAAGCAAAACATTGCTGAGGAATAATTTTCACTGGGACTGCAGTACATAGGAAGGGGAGATAGAACCTAGCTGTGATTCTGGCAAAAATAATCTCTTCCATACTGCCATTAGCTTTGGAAAATCCTACTGATTCCAATGTCAGTAGCAGAAAGGGCATGTGGACAAGATGTCTGCCAAGACTTGCACAGTATTGTCATAAAGAGATGCCAGTTTGGGCAAAAACTTCTTTCTTAATAATCTGTGAAGAGTAGCCAGCACTAAGTAGCTAATGAGCCAGCATGGTTCAGTGGTTAACAGTGCAGGACTGGGGCTCAGGTGACCTGGTTCTAGTCTAGTCCCTGTTTGACCATAGAGCCAACTGGGTGAATTTGGGTCAGTCAGACTCTCAGCCCAACCTGCCTCACAGGGTTGTTATTGTGGGGATAAAATTGAGAGAAGAAAGAGAATGGTGTAAGTTGTTTGAGATTGTAAGAAAAAAGTGGGATATAAATCTAATAAATATTCAGCAATAGTTTGTTTTTGTTCTACACATCCCTTTGAAAATTCATACAGTTGCAAAACATATAGAAAACATGAGGGGTTTTTTGTTCTGTGCCTCCCTTGCTGCTTGGGACCCCTCCCCTACCCCATTCCCCTCCTAGTCCACCTCCCAGTGTCAGCACGGGCATGATTGCAGTGAACTCTCCTGAGATCACCATTCCATCCTGTCCCTTTCCTCTAATTCCTGAGGCTCAGAAAGAGGGCAGGTCAGGCTGGCAGCCTCATGAGAGCTCATCCCAGCATGCCCTGCTATGCTACAGCTGACAAGCACAAAGGCACTCGGGAGCTGAGCTCCTCTGCACTCATCAACACGAATGGGCTCAAGTAGAAGAAGCTCAGTGCACCAACTCCAAGAAAGAAGGAGCAGGGGGGTCACATAGGAGAGTCTCTGAGCAGGAGAAACAGGGAAGAAAGGATGAATAATTCTAGAGAAATGGTCACTGTGCTTGGGCTGTGGTCAAAGGAGGAGTTGCCTGGGATTTCTAGTTGTGTATATTAAATAAATATATTGCAAACACTTTAACTTATGATATGGGAATTAATTCACTGTGTAGCACCTAGGTTCTGGTCAAAGTCCTCACACAGCCCTCAAAGTTCAAAAAGTTGGATCATCCTGCCCTATCTAATCCCAACATCTCCCTTTTCATTCCTGTCCCTTTTTATTGCCATAATCTTGCTAAAAACAAATCCAAGAAATGCATTCATTTAAAAGTACAAACATGTTATTTATAGGAGACCACAGGCAATGAAATGTACTAAACAAGAGTCCTGGTGTTACTTGTCAGAAGCTCAAGAACAGTGCTACTAAATTTTAAAAGTTTCTATTTCACAAATGCAGTACAGTTTGCTTCAGCAGTTTATTTACCAAAACAAAAACCATTTTAAGCATTTACCCACTAAACAAACATGTTAGGCTGAGAAATCCTCCTTACAAGTAGTTAGAACCATGACAAAGAATGCTTAAAGGTTCCTAGAAACTTTATTTAAAAATAAATACGACCTGTGCAGGGAGAAGGACAGGGGGAGTACATCCCTGTTGGTT